TACAATGTAGATTGTTACTGAAATCACCAGTTTGTCTTCTCTAAGTTTATACCTTCAGACTGGAGGCACATCTCTGTAATGCTGCCAACTGCCAGCTAAAGAACTGCGTGCAAGGTCATAGATAATGTCTAGGGGATGTAAACACTTCCAGCATTTGAAGAAAACAATTACGAGGTTGGAAAGTAATCAAGAGTAGATGTTCACCAAAATTAAGATGGGATGCAATGTGTTATACATGAATGTTCAGGTCATGTTGCTATCCCAGGGCTGAAGTGTTCGTATGGTGAGGAATTGCTGAAAGCAGCTGTCATGCCTGCCTGACCTTTGTGGCACGACTAACCTTTGTTAATTTCTCAGTGAGTCCATTATGTAATCAAAACTTCGAAAACCAGTGGTTTGCTGTTTGCCTGTCATGACAGATGTATTGCATTGTGGGAAGAAACAACATGCACACTTTTTGGCTGACAATCAAGGTAACCGACAGAAATATTCATGAACACTCTCTTGGTATAACCTTGTGTTTTACCTGAGTGGCCTCCTGCCATGTGAAAGTTTGGGCCTGACACATGAAAACCATATATACTTCTCAAAAGAAGTTAAGGAATACCTGATTCTTACATAATACTATAATTAATATGTAATGCCATGACAGATAAGGGGGCGGTCGGGTAGCCTAGTGGTTAAAGCATTCGCTCGTCACCCCGAAGACCCAGGTTTGATTCCCGACATGGGTACAATGTGTGAAGCCCATTTCAGGTGTCGTGATGTTGCTGGAATATTGCTAAAAGCGGCATAAAACCATACTCACTCACTCACCCATGACAGATAAACTATAGTGATATGAAAGAATCAGATTTCCCGGTTCTTCACGATTATGTTTCAATGTTTATCAGCACCATGCTCGTGCTCCTGGGTTTCACCCCGTTGTAAATGTCTAAGAACTGCATCACTTCCAGCTTCCTCCCACAACAAGCTGACACGCTGTGATATAACTGCAATTCTGTTCAAAGTGGCATTAAACCCAACTCACTCACTCACAATCAGCTTTAGTGTGATAACACTTGATGGCTGGCTGGTTTAGTGTAACTGTATACGCTGATGATGTGTTTCATGCTATGTTAGTGGTTGTGGATTGATTGTGACTTGGACCCACTCACTCACTCTCATTTCTCGGTATCATGCATCTGTTCCATGTAGCTTCTTCTCCGCCGTCAACCGCCTCCATTGTCCAGTGGTAGAATGTCCAACCAGTTCGATTCCAGGCCGCATCATACCACATTCCACATAAAGGGGCTTATACAAGGACTGGTCGGCTCAGAGTCAGTATACTGTGTCTGAGTGGGGTATTCATGTTAAATTGTGGCATGGTATCTCAGTGGGCTAGCTCTATGAATCGTCATCAGTCCGGACTAGTACAAGCACACGCGCGCGCGCGCGCGCACACACCGCTATATAAGTGCATTAAACGTGGACGCGATGTTAAACCCCATTTCACCTCACCTCTTCTCCTAGTCATGAATGAAACTCCATGAAAGGGTTTGACAAAACAATTACGGAAGGTTTAGTGAAATGATGTTTGACATGTCAGCTTCTGAAGAAGGATGCCTACATGGTAGAGAAGAACGCCAGTTACAAATGAGGCTTTGAAGATGTTAGATCATCAAGGTCAAACTGTGGCCTGGGAGAGTCTCCTTTATCTGTCACTGTCACTTGTTTTATCTGTCTATCAACGCCTGAGCCTCTGTTACATCTTCCTTCCTTTCTTTTTGTTTTATGTTTAATGGCTTCACATGATGAAAACACAAACTGGCATCAGTTCACTCGGTGTCTACATGCATGTTTGCCTTTGTCTGCTTCGACCTTTAATATTATCCACAACTTCCCGGGAGACGCTTGATTGCAGTTCCTCTGATACACTGCTGAAATCTGTACATGTTTATGAAGATTGCATGATAAGTTAGCAAGTATTTTTCAAGGTGTCCTTCTTTTGGTCCAAATTGTAAATTCACATGTATCAAACCAATATTGATCTGAATGATCATTCAATGAAAAACCTTTTTTTCAACCCATAGGAGTAATTATTGTCCATCATTGAGTGTATAATTCATGATATTTCCTCCCCAAGAGAGAGTTTTTCCACTTGGCCAATCCCAGGAAGATCATTGATCATGTTCCTATTCTGTGATTAGATTACCAGCATTATATAATGTGATCCTTCATACTGGAGGAGGCTTTAATTTGATTATTCAGATGTTTGCATTGATCATTGGCTGATTTGATTTGGTCAACCAGGGAAGTGGATACTTGACCCGTTGTGTTCTAACTTCATTTGGGATATTTTTGAAGTGATATAAGAGGTATTATCTGCAACTAACGTTGATGGTACAAAGAGAGCTTGTGGGGTGGTTAGAAGGCAAACAGAGTAAGTCGGAACAGTGATCAAGAAATGCCTCTTATGACTACCAATAAAAGTGTAAAGAGACAAGTGGACTTCTTTATTCAGTTACAGTTTCTAATGTCTCAACTTGGCAGTGTTTAGGCAATTTCTACTTGTTTGACAGTCCAGGCAGAAAGTTGAATACTTCTTGCCACATTATCATGTGTTCTTTTTTCTTTGCTGATGTAGTGGGGATGGGTGGCCTTAGGCTGTGAGTTCACTATGAGAAGTTGCACCCCTGACTAAATGGAATGGGTGGTCATACTAGGTGACTTGGTTGATTGTGTGTCATCGTATCCCAATTGTGTACATAGATGATCATGATATCAATCACAAGCTTGTCTGGTCCAGGCTCAATTATTTACAGGCCCCTGTCCTATCTCTGAAATATTGCTGAGCTGTGTCATTAAACCACAAACAAACAAGCAAGTAAAGTTGCTTCCCTTTAGATTTGCCATGATCTTGTGGTCGTTGGTTCATTCCCTAGATTAGCCCTTATTATGATTTTTACTGGTGCACCTTGTTTTCACCATTGTGTTACGTGTCTAAGTCCCACATCACTCTGGGCTTTCCTCTGGTATGAAGCTGACACTTGACTCACTCACTCACTCACTCACTCACTCACTCACTCACTCACTCACTCACACACCCTCACTCACTCACACACTCTCACTCTCTCACTCTCTCACTCTCTCACTCACACACACACTCACACACTCTCACTCACTCACTCACTCACTCACTCACTCACTCACACTCTCACTCACTCACTCACACTCACTCACTCACTCACTCACTCACACACACACACACACACACACACACACACACACACACACACACACACACACACACTCACTCACTCACTCACACACTCACACACTCTCACTCACTCACTCACTCACTCACTCACTCACTCACTCACTCATTGGTTGCAGGATGTTGAGAGAGGTAAGGGAATAAGATAACATGAGAAGCATGTGTTTTTACATACCTTAATTTGGTATGTAGTGAGCACATCAGTGCCATAATCATGATAATAGTGTGAATTATGTTACTGAACACAGCAGGAAACGTGTCATCTGCAGCATTTCTTTGTGTTCCAGAATGTATCTGTCAGTCTTTGTATGATGTCCTGGATGAAATATCACATAGATATTGCTTTGTACTGATGCATTTGTAGCCATGATCAAATTATGACACTGTGGCATCTTACTATCATCTGACACTCCATACATGATGTCTGGAACAACTGAGATATCTATATGCTACCCAGTGCATTTGTGTACAGAGCGTAGAAGCCTCTACCGTATATAGCATTTACCGTATTCGACGTAATAAGCACAAAGGGCGCTCTCTAAATTAGAAATAGGGGGCTCTTATTAGAATATTATTTTGGTGGAAAAAACAGAGTTGAAAGATAAATTTGTTGGTTTATGCTGACAGCCTGAAATGTTTATGTACGACTGATATATTTTTCCAGGATTTCATTGCCCATAATTAAGGGTGCATATACCACACAAGTGCGTATTATACGCAAATAAATAAGTCTTGTGTACATTGATCAATCGGAAGGGGTTCTAATTGGGATTGTTCACTAGTCAATATGTTAGCAATTATCGCAGTAGGCGCTTTATGTCGAATACGGTATGTTGGGAGGATGAAAGGGTTCTACTGGCTAGTCGTAAGAGGCGACTAATGGGATCGGGTGGTCAGGTTCCTGACTTGGTTGATGCATGTCATTGTATCACGATTGCGTGGAGCGATGCAGACAGCCATCATACAGCTCGAATATTGCTGTGTGCGGCGTTAAACAATAAACAAACAAAAACATCTTGTACAAACATGAAAGGTTGATTGCTGAGAGACTCAGTGTATTTGCACATGCCTACAATGTTGTTCAATTCAAAAACACTGAATCTGTCTTGTAATGTAAGTGATTCCGTCCCTAAGGTTTGTTCCTGAAGATGGGGTAGGCAAGTGGTTAGAGTGTTCCTACCCGCAGTACCGGATGGGGTTTGAGTCAAATCATGCCATTGAGCATTTTAAGCATTGATTGTTTTCCTTCCACATTAATCATGCTGACATGCTGTGATGTAACTGGAATACTGTTCAAAACAGTGTTTCAACTCACTCACTCACTCACTCACCCACTCACTCACTCACTCACCCACTCACTCACTCACTCACTCACTCACTCACTGTGTTTTCTACAGACATTGAAGTAATGCTGAGCTGTAAGCAGTGTGTTTGCCATTCTGAGTTTGAGTCTGTGTGTAGTATGTGTTCCTACCCGCAGTAACGGATGGGGTTTGAGTCAAATCAGGCCATTGAGCATTTTAAGCATTGATTGTTTTCCTTCCACATTAATCATGCTGACATGCTGTGATGTAACTGGAATACTGTTCAAAACAGTGTTTCAACTCACTCACTCACTCACTCACTCACTCACTCACTCACTCACTCACTCACTCACTCACTCACTCACTCACCCACCCACCCACCCACCCACCCACCCACTCACTCACTCACTCACTCACTCACTCACATTGATTGGTTGCAGGATTCAGCAGATCCAGCTCCTGGGACGTGACATGCGGGGATCGGAACACGACAAGCTGTGGAACCAACTGGAGGCTGAGATACATCTACATCGACACAAGACAGTCATCCGGGCCTGCAGGGGGCGCTCCAACAGGAAGAAGAGGCTGCCTGTACCACCTGGACATGTACGTGGGATTTATAAGTCATGTGACATCTTACCTCATAATCTCAATTCCCTTTTTTCTTGATCATTCTCATTGTTATACCTCAGCATCTCAGCAATTTTATTTGTATTGAGAAAGCCCCTGAAAGTCCCAATGCGTGAAGCCAATTTTTGGTGTCCACCGCCATTATATTGCTGGAAAATTTCTAAAAGTGGGGGCGGTCGGGTAGCCTAGTGGTTAAAGCGTTCGCTCGTTAGCCGTAGACCCGGGTTCGATTCCCGACATGGGTACAATGTCTGAAGCCCATTTCTGGTGTCCCCCGCCGTGATATTGCTGGAATATTGCTAAAAGCGGCATAAACCATACTCACTCACTCTAAAAGCGGCTTAAAACCATACTCACTCACTTAAGTGAAAGAATTATGGTGGTAAACCATTTATTATGTTTTCTGTTAAATGTGATTTTTAATTGGGCACCTCCTATTTTCAAAACCCTAGAACCATCATACAGTTTCCAGTCTAACGAGGTGTTATAGGATATCAGAGCAGCAAAATAAACCTTCTTTACCCAATTAATTTTGTGTTGCCTGCATACAAATACACATGAAAAATAGTTAAGAAACAGTAGTATTATAACACTGTGCATACTTTGGCATTTTGTACTTCAGTTTGTGTGCCTGTATGATCGAATGCAAGCGCCACACGTACATATTCTACTTCAGTGAATGATGCACAAGAGCACAACATTTCACATTTTGTAACTTTGTACTATCGCCTGGCGTGATATCGCTGGAATATTGCTAAAAGTGGCGTAATGCCAAACTCACTCACCCATTGTATTGTATGCAATATTTGCCACGCTTGGAGCAGCACCTAAACACATGTAAATTGACTGTCACTTGAAGCAGCATTTTAAGCAGAATTTAATTTCCTAAAGGACCATAGCGAGTAAAATATACTGAATACCCTAACGGACTATCAATACCCAAAGTGAATGATAACATGTGAGTAAATACTCAATGGCTCAAATATGTTTCTGAAGCCCTTGGATATTGTTCAACAAGTTAGCAACACTGAAATTGAATTTGAAGAGAAATTGTTACAAATGATTGATTGTGTATGTCCCATCAAGTATATATTTTAACAACATTATATTTCGTCATCTTTTAGGATTTCCAGTCACTGAAGAGAAAGCATGGTTTAGGAGAAGCTCGAACTATCAAATTGACAAAGAGTGCTGACGAGGGCCTCGGAATGTCCATTACAGTAAGTAAATACTGTACATCACTGCCTTAGTTGTGCCAGGATCTGCTGACAGTGGATTTGAATTCCCGATTTTTCCTGATTATGATCCTTGAGCTGTCTGTACTATCGCTGCAACCAGTCAAATCTCCCAACTGTGATAGTTGGCTACAACCATGCTTGGAGTTAAACACGCACCCGACTGACCATTATGTTTACAAACAAGTGATGACTGCCGTGATGCCGAATAATCTTACCCCTGCTAATTTTTGTTGTTGTCAATTTGAATTTCTGTTTCATTACAACTGTCATGTAATTGATATAGTAAGAATGTAAGGGGAAATTTGTTGATTTTCCGTTGGTCTGCAATCTCGAACCAATCTGATCAAACAAACAAAAAGGTAAATTCATCTTGGTCAGTTGTAAACCTATAATTGCATTCCCAAAGACATAAACAAAAGTATAAACTGCTTTTGGGCTTAGAGGGCAACTTTCAAGATTCTTGTTGTGGCAGCGCTCACACTGGTGGCAGCGATGTTACCGATAGTGTAACAAAGGTGTCATACTTGGAAGGAGCTTGTAGGGGAAGCATTCAAAGGGAGGCAATTCTTACTGGTGACAGGGGAGACAACTTTTACTACAGAGGAATCACCTGATATTTTGATGTCAATGTACTGTCATAAGACTAAATCTTTAGAAGAAAATTGTGATTAACGATTGTACATCTTAGCATATGCAATATTTGTACAATTTTAGAAAGTTGATGAGAATATATGTGTGTATCAGGGAGGAAAGGAACATGGAGTCCCCATCCTCATCTCAGAGATCCACGAGGGCCAACCTGCTGACAGATGTGAGAGCCTCTTTGTCGGGGACGCAATATTGTCAGTGAATGGTATTGACCTGAGGCAGGCCAAGCACTCAGAAGCTGTACAAGTCCTCTCTAAGCAGGTATTGTTTCATCGTCATCTGTCCCACAATAAACCCTGTGAGAAGTCAGGGTTAACATAGTCTCCAACAACTTATGCTGGTTCAAAAGGGGAGACTTAATGCATCAGGTTGTCAGCTCAGTGACCTGGTTGATTACGTGTCTTCTCGTTGGGTTGTTGTTCATATTGTCAATCACTGGATTATCTGGTCCAGGCTTGATTATTTACAGGCTGTTGTCATACATCTTGAATATTGCATAGTGCAGTGTTAAACAGTAGTTGTCACAAATAGAGAGTGGGTTCCTAGTACCCAAATGGCTGAAATACTGCCGATGTGACGTTAAATCTTAACTCACTCACTCCTAGTACCCAATTGTAGTTATATATAAGAAGGCAAATGAAGATCAGATGGTTATTATGTGTACCCTGGCTCATTTAATATCTTAATAGGGGCCGTGGGGTAGTGGTTAAAGTGTTCGCTCATCATGCTGAATACCCAGGTTTGATTCGTGACATGGTGTTCCCTGTCGTGATATTGCTGGAATATTGCTAAAAGCGGAGTAAAACCATACTCACTCACGAATACCCTAATATGGCAACAATGTTGTTTTTTCCCATGCTATGAACCACTGGTCTGGCCCATGCTTAATTAATTAAAAGTCACTGTGGTATTGCTGTAATATTGCTGACTTTGGCATACAAAAAACACTCACTCATTTCTGCCTTATGAGGTATGGTCAGTATGGGCCTCATTCTGCCAACTCATTGATGAGTATTTTTTAATATTGGCTAGCATTGTGCACAACCACCAGTGGCTAAAGTGATGACGTAATCCCTGCTTGGGGTATCATGCAGGAAGCAGAGGTACTGTAAGTCCCCATGATCCCCAGCGAGGTGGCCTAGCTTTGGTTACTGGTGGCCTATAGCCCGTGTTTTAAAACTGTATATATAATATTGTTATGCTCAAATATGTTTCATGAATTGTATCTAAATATAGTATGCTCAAATATGTTTTACAACTTGTTTTTAAACAAATCTTTGCATTAATGACTAAATTATACATATATTAACTTGCTCTCGTCGCTATATGGCTGAGATAATGCCGATGCGACGTTAAATTTTAACTCACTCACTCACTCATTCTGTAACTATATTTTAGCAGTGTACAATGGAAAATTTGTGGTGAAATTTGAAGCCATGACAAAAGAAACTTTGCAATACATCTTGGTGGGTTTTTTTCAAAATAAGGTTTGTGAAATATTCTGAGAATCATGTGTTGCTATTTATTTCAAATGTTGAATTTCAGCAAGGGGAGATAACTATGGAAGTGATGTTTGTGGCCCCTGACGAGGACAGCGATGATGAGAACAAAGAGTATGAAGACGAACATGGTTTTAGGTACTCAACATTGATCTGTTAACTGTTTTGTTAATCAATTGAGTATCCTGTGATACTTAGTGCCATGAGAATTGTGTTGTATATATCCCAAGAGTTCATGTCATTTATTTCGATGTTAAATAGTTATGGTGTCTGTTGATGTAGATATCTGTTGATTAGGATCAGTCTCAGACACAATCATTGTATCATGTTTCAGATACAGGATATACGATGATCAGTCTCAGACACAATCATTGTATCATGTTTCAGATACAGGATATACGATGATCAGTCTCAGACACAATCATTTTATCGTGTTTCAGATACAGGATATACGATGATCAGTCTCAGACACAATCATTGTATCATGTTTCAGATACAGGATATAGGATGATCAGTCTCAGACACAATCATTGTATCATGTTTCAGATACAGGATATACGATGATCAGTCTCAGACACAATCATTGTATCATGTTTCAGATACAGGATATACGATGATCAGTCTCAGACACAATCATTGTATCGTGTTTCAGATACAGGATATACGATGATCAGTCTCAGACACAATCATTGTATCATGTTTCAGATACAGGATATACGATGATCAATCTCAGACACAATCATTGTATCGTGTTTCAGATACAGGATATACGATGATCAGTCTCAGACACAATCATTGTATCGTGTTTCAGATACAGGATATACGATGATCAATCTCAGACACAATCATTGTATCGTGTTTCAGATACAGGATATACGATGATCAGTCTCAGACACAATCATTGTATCATGTTTCAGATACAGGATATACGATGATGAGGTGATCAGCGACAACAGCGATGTCAGTCGGACAGAGACACCATCTTCCGCAAGACCGATGACAAATGGCCCTACTACTCCACCTGGGGGCGCTAAACCCGTCAGGTAACAGCATCCACTAGAGACAGTGTCACACCTAGATGGCTGACAGAGGTCACATTTATTTCAGTGTCACACCTAGATGGCTTACAGAGGTCACATTTATTACAGACAGTGTCACACTTGGATGGGTTACAGAGGTCACATTTATTTCAGTGTCACACCTAGATGGCTTACAGAGGTCACATTTATTTCAGTGTCACACCTAGATGGCTGACAGAGGTCACATTATTACAGACAGTGTCACACCTAGATGGCTTACAGAGGTCACATTTATTACAGACAGTGTCACACCAGGATGGCTTACAGAGGTCACATTTATTACAGTGTCACACCTAGATGGCTTACAGAGATCACATTATTACAGACAGTGTCACACCTAGATGGCTTACAGAGGTCACATTTATTACAGTGTCACACCTAGATGGCTTACAGAGGTCACATTATTACAGACAGTGTCACACCTAGATGGCTTACAGAGGTAACATTTATTACAGACAGTGTCACACCAGGATGGCTTACAGAGGTCACATTTATTACAGTGTCACACCTAGATGGCTTACAGAGATCACATTATTACAGACAGTGTCACACCTAGATGGCTTACAGAGGTCACATTTATTACAGACAGTGTCACACCTAGATGGCTTACAGAGGTCACATTTATTACAGTGTCACACCTAGATGGCTTACAGAGGTCACATTTATTACAGACAGTGTCACACCTAGATGGCTTACTGAGGTAACATTTATTACAGACAGTGTCACACCGGGATGGCTTACAGAGGTCACATTTATTACAGACAGTGTCACACCGGGATGGCTTACAGAGGTCACATTTATTACAGACAGTGTCACACCTAGATGGCTTACAGAGGTCACATTTATTACAGACAGTGTCACACCTAGATGGCTTACAGAGGTCACATTTATTTCAGTGTCACACCTAGATGGCTGACAGAGGTCACATTATTACAGACAGTGTCACACCTAGATGGCTTACAGAGGTCACATTTATTACAGACAGTGTCATACCTAGATGGCTTACAGAGGTCACATTTATTACAGTGTCACACCTAGATGGCTTACAGAGGTCACATTTATTACAGACAGTGTCACACCTAGATGGCTTACTGAGGTCACATTTATTACAGACAGTGTCACACCGGGATGGCTTACAGAGGTCACATTTATTACAGACATTGTCACACCTAGATGGCTTACAGAGGTCACATTTATTACAGACAGTGTCACACCTAGATGGCTTACAGAGGTCACATTTATTACAGACAGTGTCACACCTAGATGGCTTACAGAGGTCACATTTATTTCAGTGTCACACCTAGATGGCTTACAGAGGTCACATTATTACAGACAGTGTCACACCTAGATGGCTTACAGAGGTCACATTTATTACAGACAGTGTCACACCTAGATGGCTTACAGAGGTCACATTTATTACAGACAGTGTCACACCTAGATGGCTTACAGAGGTCACATTTATTACAGTGTCACACCTAGATGGCTTACAGAGATCACATTATTACAGACAGTGTCACACCTAGATGGCTTACAGAGGTCACATTTATTACAGACAGTGTCACACCTAGATGGCTTACAGAGGTCACATTTATTACAGTGTCACACCTAGATGGCTGACAGAGGTCACATTATTACAGACAGTGTCACACCTAGATGGCTTACAGAGGTCACATTTATTACAGACAGTGTCACACCTAGATGGCTTACAGAGGTCACATTTATTACAGACCGTGTCACACCTAGATGGCTTACAGAGGTCACATTTATTACAGACAGTGTCACACCTAGATAGCTCACAGAGGTCACATTTATTACAGACAGTGTCACACTGGGATCGGTTACACAGGTCACATTATTTCAGTGTCACACCTGTCACACTGTGTTACACCTAGACAGTAACAAAGGGCACATTTGCTGCAGAAAAAGCATGGGTACATTTTAAAATCACTCCTACACCTTGATGAGGAACATATGACACATTGTCTGCAGACAGTGTTACACCTGGAAAGGTAAAGTGGGACACATTTATCATGATGCTACACATGGTTAGGTTACATGACACATGTACTCCAGACAATGTTACACTGAATGCTTTTTACGATATATACTACTTAATACAAGTTAAAGAACACCCACAATTTGAAGGGTGTGTGTTTTAATGCTTATCAGACATGACTGATTCACTTTGTCAAATTTATTTAGTAGTGTATTATGTCAGGATTTTGTAAACTTTAATGAAATGACTAATTGAAAATACTTTTATTTCCAGTCAATCAGACAGTGGCAGCAGCCCTGGGGCCAGTGGCGTACAGAAAGTGTCTATCGGTCAAATCCAGCCAAACAGTATACAACACCTGCAGGCCGGGCACAAGGACGCAGCTTTCAGTGGGAACCACTAGGACAAACTTGACCACTGAACATACACCATGGGTGGTCATTCTGACTGAGTGTACAATACCAACAGATGGAAGACAAGCAAAATATGAACAACTCACATTATTTAAGAAATCCATCATCTGACCTTGAACAAATACGCAGTCTTCAATGGGGAACAACTGTGCATGCCGCTCTCTAAACGTTGGAGCAAGGCTGGAATCTGTAACAAGGCTTCAGTGATACATTATGTTAGTAGCTGACCTTGGTGGGTCAAGGTTTACAGGGGAGATCACTGAGACATCATTTTTCTAAAAGGGGGATAACTGGTCTCTCACTTGATCTTGAGCAAGATGTATACATACTGAGGCATCACTGTATTTTTTAAGGGGGATAACTGAGGCATCACTATGTCTATAAAGGGGGATAACTGAGGCATCACAAGGTCTTTAAAGGGGGATAACCGAGGAATTGCTAGATCTATAAAGGGGGGCTAGCTGAGGCATCACAAGGTCTATAAAGGGGGATAACTGAGGAATTGCAGGTCTTTAAAGCTGTATAACTGGGGCCGTATCCTCAAACAAAAATAATATAGGTAGGCAATTTTGGACTGAATCCGTTTTGTACATTGTATCTTATGTATGACTTGTTGGGAAATGAGGTTTGTTGTGTTTAATTTTTAGGGCAGTGAATCAGGGCTCTGTTATAATACACATCACTGTGTATCAAACTAGGTTACATAGGTGGGCTAGCATATCAATCTATGACTTGAGCCAGCTTATGAAAGTTGATATATAAAAAGTGAAATATACCAGTATATTGCACAAACTGATATGTTGATATTTATAACATGGGCTGACACTGACCAACAGTTTGACACTTCATGAAGTCTTACCACTTCACCAACAGTATCTGCCCTGTCCTAGCTTCATAGTCGCATACGGGGCGGTCGGGTTCATTCGTCACACTGAAGACCCGGGTTCGATTCCCGACATGGGTACAATGTGTGAAGCCCATTTCTGGTGTCCCCTGCCGTGATATTGCTGGAATATTGCTAAAAGCGGCGTAAAACCAAACTCACTCACTCACTCATAGTCGCATACAAGAACACACCACACACACCGATCAGACCTTGTTTAAAGATGCCAAGTATCACTGAAGATTATAAGAATCCTGCGAAGCTATTTACCACATCCCTGTATGTCACCACATCAATTCTTCTACACTGCAAGACCTGTTGTTTTAGCATTAAATGCGCAACTGAATTGTTAATCATTGTTTGTCATTGTTAAGAGCCTGTTACAGTGTACCAATACCAGTCAATACTTCCTCCTCGTTCAGCTTACTGTGATAATCAAATGGATCTTGTCAGAATATGTACATTGCTAAGGCATGCAATAAAACACTTAGTGGTCAGTTGTCACTGTGTGTCTCCTGGTGATTTGGTACCAACAAACCAAGCTGTTTGATGCTGCTGTATGTAATAAGGCAGGGAGTAATGTTACACTACTGACTCGGGACTGAAGTCACAATCTGTTTCACAAATTGGCTGATTATTGGTTCAGAACCTGGTACTTATTGTTCCATATCAATTATTGATAATTATTAAATGTATGTGTAAATGTCTTGGTTACCACGGAGACGTACATGGCGCCAGTGATGCTGACCCAGATCGAGTCCTGGAACAGTTACTTCCTTTGGATTATTGAGTCAAATTGAGCCAGTTTTGTTGTGATTAATCCTCACAAAAATATGCTAGTCTTAGTGTGTGTTGGGCACAACTTTGTGTTTCACAAGCAATAAGGATTTATCCACCAATGGTCTTTTCTTCACACCGCTGGTGTGAGCGAGTAGAATTTCAAGGGATTTCACATAGGATTTTAACATGGGACTCTTAAAGCATATACCGGGTAGTATTTCCACTTAGGTTTTTGGATTACTTTGGGGTCAGATCTGGAGAGATATTTTGGTGTTTTGGGGTCACTATCTCAATGAAACTGTGGTTTCACTGTTAACACTTTGGAAACAGGATTGCTTGAGGATGTTGGTACATTGTTACTCAGTGCAATACAGCTATCTTGTCATTTGTATTCGATCGTGTCACAACAGTCAGCAGCTGTCTTGCCATCCACGTTTCAGCCTGGATCCTTATAATACAGACTGACTGAACAACTCAATATTAATGGAGATTAATGTACTTTGAGATTGGGAGATTTATTTTCAAATTCACTTTTTAAAAATGGATTGTACAGAATTCTTCTACCCAAATGGTAGCATTTCATGCATATACACAGAATACAACACCTCAAATGTGAGGGTTTTGCCTGATCTCTTTACCTTATTCCATTATCACACACACAGGTTGACATGTTAATCAAGCTGTCTGGCAGTATCGTTGTGTCTCCAGTGTAACCGACAATCCCAAGTCATTGGTCTGTGTTTCTGTATCTGACTGCTCTGTATCCCCTTCCCGAGGCAAGGGAGTTAACTGACTGTCAAAGTCCAGTTTCCACCCTCGTCAAACTAGGCTGGCATTTCTGGGATTGATTGTAGCACCACCTATCGTTATTATGAGTTATGTCCCTTCTATGTCCCTCCTATGGACCAATCAGATACCACCTCTCAATATCACTTTCATTTGCTTCAAACAAAATGGCGTTGCACAGTGAAGACGATCTGATCATGGCAGTTTATGAACTGGATATCAAATTCGTTACATGATGTTGATTGGACTAAGAATAGAGTCGTTAGTCCAGCCAAAATATAACTCCATAATACCAGCCCAGTTCGGCAAGGGTGGAAACTGGACATTTATAGTCAGTTAACTCCCTTGCCTCAGGAAGATGGTTCTGTATATCTTAAGGCTCTGTTGGTGCCGGGAACTTTGAAATCTCCCAAGCCAAGCATACCTTAGTTGTGTATGGCCTGTAATAGTATTCATATTTGTGTATATACATGTGTATGTTTATATAATTAATGTTATTGTCAACAGTTTTGGGTGAGATTGGCTTGGAAGAACTTTATTTGAATGTGTATATATACTCAACTTGTCTATGAGTAATTGTGGTTTCAATTTTGCATATGGCCATATAATTCTTTCCCTGTTAACAAAATAACCTTACTTTATTCTAATAACAAAAAAACACATTCCAAGAAAAGAAAATTCTTTAAAAGCTTATCCTCTGCATTTGTCCCTTATACATTATATTAAAAGAACATGTAACTTTTAATAAATGTTGTATCAAAATGTCCCAACTCAATGTTGAAATTCATAACTACGTTTTGTATGTACTGACTATATCGATAGTACAATATTTTGTCTTTTTGGAAAGAATGATTTTTTTATTTCTGATTTTGATGGGAATGTTAATTGTTTATGCTGCTCAATTGTGTGATGAAGTATGCGTTCTCAGTTGTGGTATGCTATAGGATGGTCCGAACAAAGTATCATTGTTGATACGTGTGTACAAAATACATTTGTAGGTACTTCATTGTTATTGATATGGAATATTCTTTGGGCATGATCAACAGATATATTTGATTCTTCTGTACATTATGTTAGTTATTATCTTATCATATATACTTTGGGGATGTCACGTAGTGTTGGTTGATGTTTATTATTTGTAATAATATGTACATTCAGGCTGAAATATTGTTTTTTTACTGCTGGCACTTGCACAAACAGTAGTCATTCTTGTATTTTAACCATTTTCAATTTAAGACCTTATTAATTAACCTGTCAATCCCACAAAAATACAAATTACTTGAAGACTACCCTGTGATTCAAATTTGACCATCCAACCTTCGACACATGAGTATCTCGAAGTTGTTCATTTGTATTGATCTTCCTCCAATAAGTGAACTTTAAATATACTGAATTCCTCTTTTTGAAGTAACATATTATTCATTTGTGAAGTTGGGTTTCTATAATATTTATGTCTAGTTTTCTTGTAAATGCAGTGCTTTGAAGTCAAGATGTCTGACTTTCAACGATGTAGATATGCCTAAGTTATTTGTGTTTTCGTAGATATGCCCTGCATGTTGGACCAAGTCAGAGGGCTTAGGAGATGCATATTCGGAATGGGTGCTGTTTTGGTAGACTTGAACAGATCGAGATGTGTACATGAAAATAATATGAAATCTTATACATGATACTCCAAAATTAATTTTAGCTTGAATACTTCGTAAATTCGCCCTTGTTTGTGCAATAGTTCAGTCCTTGTGTATTGGTTGCAGGTTTTAGAAGAATGTCAACTGTTTCTAGACAATTTCTTTTGTCATTGTTGAATTGCAACTCAGAATAATATATTCCCCAAATCTAAACTTCAGTTATTTCTGAAATTCATATTTTACCTTACATTTCTACAAATGATCCCCATATGATGTATAGTTACATTCCGTTTCATCTTTGCTGCTGTCACTGGACGCTCATGGCTGAATGGTGTAATATATTATGGATAATTTTTAATAAATTTTAAACATCTTCAACAGCTGAAAATCGCATTCTACGTGAAATTTGAGCAATTTCATCTGTTAAATATCAGTCATATGAGAAACATATTTCATAATGAACTATTGAAAATTGCTGCTACATCATTGGGAATCTTCATTCTTGTAACCTCATTTGAACATGTTAGTCATCATTTGTACTAAAGAATCAAGCTTATCATTGATGAATTGGGAGAATGTTTCATGTGTTTTGGTGTGTGTTTTTTCAAATAAGGATATGACAGGAAAGATAAAAGTCTGGCTTTCCACATCCTCAATTATCCAGTGTAGTGTGTCTCCATTCTGTTACGATGAATACCCTGAACCCATTAGCAACCATAGGTTCATTTTGAGTCCACACCATATAGCTGCCGGACTGCCATTTCAAATGTCGATCTGTCCCAAACTTGTACAAAGATTCAGATCATATGAGACTCATGGGAGAGGAAGTTCTATGAGGAATCAGAGATGGAAATAGTGACGTCGCTTCCCCAAATGAAACTGTGGCAACGAAAAGGATTCAGGGTATTTATCATAATGGAATGGATATATAATACCCCAGATAACTGGGATGGATCTAGTCTCAGAATGATTTAATGATCATGTGCTGGCTGTAGGGCTGGGACAGGAAACTCGGGTACTCGGGTCGGGTGGGTACTGAGTAGGACCCGGGTACCAATAGAACTACCCGGACCCGTGCTTGGTCATGTGATATATTGTTTAATGACAAAAATGATCTTGAACTATATGGTAACACTACAAGTCACTAATGTTCGTATTTCTTTCTGACTATGCACCAAGACTTTTATATGTTTGAATAAAGATAAACATTCAGTCTACGTCAGTGTATGCATGACCAGATCGATTTATACATGTATCTAAATACATTTTGTCCAGGTCTACAGTCAAACTATTCCCTATCGGACATTTTGTACCTATTGCTTGAGACCAACAGCGGGTACCCGGGTCGGGTCGGGTCGGGTAATAGGTGGGTGGGTACCCAGGTAGTAAATTTGGACTCATCCCAGCCCAAGCTGCCTGTATTGTGTCATGCATCATTTAGGTTGGGGAGTTTAGGTTGTGTATGCTTAGATTACATTTATATATATTGGGTGTCACAGATGAGATACTGGGTACTTTATATTTTCTGGGTTTATATGTGTATATATCTGTGTGTGTTAAATGGTTCCTGTATAATGATGTCAGACAGTCAATCTCTGATATATGAGAGAATCGTAATGTGAACTGTGCACTTCAGTTTGGGGTGCCTCTTTCTTAAATTCAAGTTACTATTTAACGCATCAGCAGTATTTCAACAATGGGTTTTCTATGATGAGTTAAAATATGGGGAATGTATCAAAATCATTTTGGAAATCAACATTCTTTACTGTTTGTGACAAGTTAGCAAGATCATGTGAATCTCTGATGTTGTATTTGTTGTGAGTGTAAGCATGGCTGTTCTCGTATCAACTGCATGGAAGTGTACCAATCAAGGCTGTATATAAACATACCAAATATGTATCTATGACATTACCCTTGTTGTAAAGCCACTCTCCGAATTGACATGCAGTGTTACAAACGTTCTTGTTTCACATGTTTGTCATGATGGTGTTATGATAAGGTTTGTATTAGCATCCTGTCTTCCAGCATCTGTGGACTACTTCCTGGACTAAAGCAGCGGACCCAGTACAAATATCACATGGCATTCACAGGAGAACTGTTCCAAACTGGGGTATCAGTTCTCAGTCTAGTCTTTGAAATTGTCATTGCTATTATTTCTTGAAGGGTGTTCACCCTGATAATGTTTGAAGGGTTGTCAGCACCATTCCATTGCTTGTGGGTTTCACTAAAGTGGTAAATGTCTAAGACTTGCATCACTCTGGGCTTTCCTCCCACTTCAGACTGGCATGCTGTGATGTTTCCCTAGAACTGTTCAGAGCGCCATTTCTGGTGTCCCCCGCCGTGATATTGCTGGAATATTGCTTAATGCGGCATAAAACCCACGCACTTACTTACTCTTATCAACTGCTAGATTAATAAACATAATAAACATTGAGCTGGCAGATAGACAAAGTGGTGTTTAGGGGACTTCAACAAACTGGGACTGCCAAGTGGCCAGACCCTGGCTCTACTGTTATAGGTTGAACAGGCTAGGGTCAATTGGCAGACTTAGCAAGTTTCATTCCTGTCAATCACATTCTGCCACAAAGTTTATGATGTGTATCAATCAATCAGTTAAGGGCTGCCCAAAGTTTACATAGACAATGTTTCAGTTTCACACAGATCAGTGTATAATCTCGACATGTAGCATATCTAGATCTGAAATTGGCAACAGACTGTGGAACATGTCCTCTCTGTAAATAGAAGTATACTAAAAAAACATATTCCTTCCTTTTGTTATCTCTATTGATACCATGATGTTCCTATTATTGAGGGGGCCATGGGTGGCCCAGTCGTCTCAGACGCAGCAATTCGCTGTTCCGTCCCTTGGGCACGCCAGAAACCTATGATTGTGGGTTCGAATCCCGGTTCGCCCTGATTGTGTTTCTAGGTTTGTCAGCACCATACCCGTGCTCGTGGTTTTCACCGAAGTGGTAAACGTCTGATACCTGCATCACTTCGGGCTTTCATCCCACATTAAGCTGACACGCTGCGATATATCTGGAATACTGTTAAAAGCAACGTTGAACATAACTCACTCACTCACTCACTCACTCACCTATTCTTGAGTGTGGCTATATGTCATATGAGAGGCTGTTCAAGCTGGGGGGTTTGCCTGCCCCTTCATTGTCCTGTTGAGTCATTGTTGAACCAGCAGCCTGTTTGAACAATCAGTTAACTTGGAAGGCTGATTTTTTCGGTTGGGATCATGTTTCATCTGTTTCATTCACACTGAGGACTCCAGGCAGTAGTCCATTCCAAGCAGTCCCTTGGCCTTGTCAAACAGTTGTCCTTCATATTGTTACCTCCATGCCAGAGCAGTTGGTGCTGTTCCTGATGGCGTCAACAGGAAGTTGTCATAAAACATGAAGCTCGGACTTGCATGGAATTAGAATGAAAGCAGAATCTGAGGGGTTCATGATACCAAGGAGTTTAATTGTTGACAAAATATATTTCAGTTAAAATGGTAATGAATATTCAGTGATGTTCACATGATTACATTTAAATTGATTTATGTCATCTATTCTACAATTTGCTTGATACTTGTGGAGTGATAAGTACTTCACAATGCTTAATTCATCTTGACGTAGCTGGTTTTGACAATGAATGTCATGTTAAATCCCTTTGGTAAAACATTTGATTGATGACTTCTGAAGAAAGGGAATCTTCCTAGTCGGCATGTGCCATAACAGGGAGTGGAGAGACTTGAGAGACTGTAGTCAGTGGTGCTGTAGTTCACCACTGTGCAGTCTCTTGTAGCAGTGTCAGGTTCCCAAATATAGACTATCCCACATTCAGATCCTTGTTCTGTCAACATACACATGTGTAGATTCCGGGTTAGAATTGGTCCCAGCAACCTATGCTGGTCGTAAGAGACGATTAGATGAATCAGTGGTCAGGCTTGCTGACTTGGTTGATAGCGTGTCCTCGTACCATAACAGCATGGATCGTTGCTCACAATATCGATCACTGAATTGTCTGGCCCAGACTCAATTATGTACAGTGTGCATTGTATAGCTGGTATATTGCTGTGTGCGGCATTAAAAACAAACAATAAGCAGTAAGCAGCATAACCATGCTTTGGCAAGGATTTCCTGTCATCTAATGCAGGGCAAGTTGCTTTGCACATACTAAGGAGGAATGGTTGTCGGCTTGAATCACAAAGTTGACCCTGATTATTAAACTTGGTCTGTCTGCACCATGCTGGTCAGTTTCAGTGTTAAACATGGATAACCTCTTCTCACAGTTTACTTGGGGCGGTCGGGTAGCCTAGTGGTTAAAGCCCCGACATGAGTACAATGTGTGAAGCCCATTTCTGGTGTCCCCCTGTCATGATATTGCTGGAATATTGCTAAAAGCGGCCTAAAACCATACTCACTCACTCACAGTTTACTTACATAAAGTTTTGTAACTTACATATTGTTCAAACAGCGTCAAGCCACTCTTACTCACTCACTTCACAAAGGAGCACTTTACTCCAGGCAAGAAATCAAGAGGGAAATAGATTTCAACATGTTTATTAACTTCAGTGTTATGTATGCCATAATGCAAGATGAACAAACAAAATCTTCTTGAAAGTTTTTCTGTCACTCAAATTTTAGAAAAATGTCTGTTTGTGCTTATTTTGTATTGCAATGCAACATGATGCTGCAGTAGTCATGTCTTGTTCTCTCACTTGATACATCAGTGCAGTCTTGGTATCATGTTTCCCTCATTTCATTAACTGTATTTTCTCAAAGCTTTTGAACAGACTGATGTATTTTCTATTTTGTCAACTTTATTAATCAAAAGCTTTAATTGTACAGTCTATTGCATTCCTCCTTTTGGTAACGATTATTTTCTGAACGCTTATTTGTACAGTCTGTTGCATTGCTCCATTTGGTACCTTATGCATGCTTGGGTGTACAGTCTGTTGTGTTCCTCAATTTGGTACGTAATGCATGCTTCTGTTGCGTTCCTCCATTTGGTACCTTATGCATGCTTGGGTGTACAGTCTGTTGTGTTCCTCAATTTGGTACGTAATGCATGCTTCTGTTGCGTTCCTCCATTTGGTACCTTATGCATGCTTGGGTGTACAGTCTGTTGTGTTCCTCAATTTGGTACGTAATGCATGCTTCTGTTGCGTTCCTCCATTTGGTACCTTATGCATGCTTGGGTGTACAGTCTGTTGTGTTCCTCCATTTAGTATGTTATGCCTGCTTGAGTGTACAGTCTATTGTGTTCCTCCATTTGGTACCTTATGCATGCTTGAATGTACAGTTTCTTACGTTCCTCCATTTGGTACCTTATGCATGCTTGGGTGAACAGTCTGTTGTGTTCCTCCATTTAGCATGTTATGCATGCTTGTGTGTACAGTCTGTTGCGTTCCTCCATTTGGTACCTTATGCATGCTTGGGTGTACAGTCTGTTGCGTTCCTCCATTTGGTACCTTATGCATGCTTGGGTGAACAGTCTGTTGTGTTCCTCCATTTAGCATGTTATGCATGCTTGGGTGTACAGTCTGTTGCGTTCCTCCATTTGGTACCTTATGCATGCTTGGGTGTACAGTCTGTTGTGTTCCTCCATTTGGTACCTTATGCATGCTTGGGTGTACAGTCTGTTGCGTTCCTCCATTTGTGACCTTATGCATGCTTGGGTGTACAGTCTGTTGCGTTCCTCCATTTGGTACCTTATGCATGCTTTTGTTGCGTTCCTTCATTTGGTACCCTCTTGCTTGGGTGTACAGTATGTTGCGTTCCTCCATTTGGTACCTTATGCATGCTTCGGTGTACAGTCTGTTGCGTTCCTCCATTTTGGTACCTTATGCGTGCTTGGGTGTACAGTCTGTTGCCTTCACATGTAAACTACTATGAAGATGTCTGTATTTATCACTGTTATGGTCGTTGCTGTTGAGTACTATATCCGGGTCAGGATGTCACAGTACACTCTCAGTACACAGAGAGTTTATGTTGTGGAGTGCTGCCATTTTCATTTATTTTCATTTTTGACATCCTCTGAACTTCAAAGACAGATGCATTGAGAGTAGGGGTTTTCACATGGTTGTCTGATGGGCTCTAAGAGAATGTGGTGTTCACAATGAACTCTGATAACTAACAGAGATGGGGGTGTTCACATGTTGTATCCAATAAGGCTCAGTCTCTACACACTAAGCCTCCCTTTCATCCAGCCATTGCAGGGAGTATGGTGTGTTACTCCTGACCCCCGTTATTTTTGTGTGTAATCTTCTTCTGTCAGCAATGTCTTGTATGGAGTGTGAGATCCTGACCATGTAAATATGAGGGGAAATAAGAAACAAACCTTGAATAAAATGATTTTCAAGAATAAACATTGTTTGTTGGTTTGTAAGATACTGAACAAAACAAGGTCGGGAAATAACTCTGTTTACCTGTGAACTGCAGCTGCTGGCAATCTAACATGTTCTTCAACCAGTTGGAAACAATGTGCGCAAGGATGCACAGATAGAGGTGGACACACAGCAACTCTCCAAGCCCTGAACTCTGATTGATGAACTCTACATAATGTTTGTGATGAAATTATTACATTGAAAAATCCTTCTTCAAGGTTGAAGATGAGGATAGACAATGCAGCGGGGAGAGAGGGTGGTCTATGGACTGGCTCAGCTATTTTAGATCACCTCACGCAAGAACCAGTCTGTCTGAACCTTGTAGTGGGATGTTCTAAACCTCATTGTGGGATCTTCTGAACCTTGTAGTGGGGTGTTCTGAACCTTGTAGTGGGGTGTTGTGAACCTTGGTAGTGTTCTGAACCTGGTAGTGGGGTGTTGTGAATCTAATAGTGGGGTGTTCTGAACCTCGTAGTGGGTTGTTGTGAACCTTGGTAGTGTTCTGAACCTCGTAGTGGGGTGTTCTGAACCTTGGTAGTGTTCTGAAACCTCGTAGTGGGGTGTTGTGAATCTAGTGGGATGTTCTAGATCTTGGTAGTGTTCTGAACCTCGTAGTGGGATGTTCTGAACCTTATGGTGTGTTCTGAACCTTATGGTGTGTTCTGAATCTAAGTAGTGTTCTGAACCTCGGAGTGGGGTGTTGCGAATCTTGGTAGTGGGATGTTATGAACCTGGTAGTGAGGTGTTCTGAACCTGGTAGTGAGGTGTTCTGAACCTTGGTAGTGGGGTGTTCTGAACCTTGGTAGTGAGGTGTTCTCAACCTTGTAGTGGGATGTTCTGAACCTTGGTAGTGGGATGTTCTGAACCTTGGTAGTGGGGTGTTCTAAACCTTGGTAGTGGGATGCTCTGAACCTTGGTAGTGGGGTGTTCTGAACTTGGTAGTGAGATGTTCTAAACCTTGGTAGTGGGATGTTCTGAACCTTGGTAGTGGGGTGTTCTGAACTTGGTAGTGGGGTGTTCTGAACCTTGGTAGTGGGATGTTCTAAACCTTGGTAGTGGGGTGTTCTAAACCTTGGTAGTGGGATGTTCTGAACCTTGGTAGTGGGGTGTTCTGAACTTGGTAGTGAGATGTTCTAAACCTTGGTGGTGGCGTGTTCTGAACCTTGGTAGTGGGGTGTTCTGAACTTGGTAGTGGGGTGTTCTGAACCTTGGTAGTGGGATGTTCTGAACCTTGGTAGTGGGGTGCTCTAAACCTTGGTAGTGGGATGTTCTGAACCTTGGTAGTTGGGTGCTCTAAACCTTGGTAGTGGGGTGCTCTAAACCTTGGTAGTGGGGTGTTCTGAACCTTGGTAGTGGAATGTTCTGAACCTTGGTAGTGGAATGTTCTGAACCTTGGTAGTGGGGTGTTCTGAAGCTTGGTAGTGGGATGTTCTGAACCTTGGTAGTGGGATGTTCTGAACCTTGGTAGTGGGGTGTTCTGAACCTTGGTAGTTGGATGTTCTGAACCTTGGTAGTGGGGTGTTCTAAACCTTGGTAGTGGGATGTTCTGAACTTGGTAGTGGGGTGTTCTGAACCTTATGGTGTGTTCTGAACCTTATGGTGTGTTCTGAATCTTAGTAGTGTTCTGAACCTCGGAGTGGGGTGTTGCGAATCTTGGTAGTGGGATGTTATGAACCTGGTAGTGAGGTGTTCTGAACCTGGTAGTGAGGTGTTCTGAACCTTGGTAGTGGGGTGTTCTGAACCTTGGTAGTGAGGTGTTCTGAACCTTGTAGTGGGATGTTCTGAACCTTGGTAGTGGGATGTTCTGAACCTTGGTAGTGGGGTGTTCTAAACCTTGGTAGTGGGATGCTCTGAACCTTGGTAGTGGGGTGTTCTGAACTTGGTAGTGAGATGTTCTAAACCTTGGTAGTGGGATGTTCTGAACCTTGGTAGTGGGGTGTTCTGAACTTGGTAGTGGGGTGTTCTGAACCTTGGTAGTGGGATGTTCTAAACCTTGGTAGTGGGGTGTTCTAAACCTTGGTAGTGGGATGTTCTGAACCTTGGTAGTGGGGTGTTCTGAACTTGGTAGTGAGATGTTCTAAACCTTGGTAGTGGCGTGTTCTGAACCTTGGTAGTGGGGTGTTCTGAACTTGGTAGTGGGGTGTTCTGAACCTTGGTAGTGGGATGTTCTGAACCTTGGTAGTGGGGTGCTCTAAACCTTGGTAGTGGGATGTTCTGAACCTTGGTAGTTGGGTGCTCTAAACCTTGGTAGTGGGGTGCTCTAAACCTTGGTAGTGGGGTGTTCTGAACCTTGGTAGTGGAATGTTCTGAACCTTGGTAGTGGAATGTTCTGAACCTTGGTAGTGGGGTGTTCTGAAGCTTGGTAGTGGGATGTTCTGAACCTTGGTAGTGGGATGTTCTGAACCTTGGTAGTGGGGTGTTCTGAACCTTGGTAGTGGGATGTTCTGAACCTTGGTAGTGGGGTGTTCTAAACCTTCGTAGTGGGATGTTCTGAACTTGGTAGTGGGGTGTTCTGAACCTCAGTGGATGAACCATAGGTAAAGTGATTTGAACCTCTAAGTGGGTTCTTCACCAATTGGGGTGTTCTGAACCTCGTAGTGGGGTGTGTGTTCTGAACCTTATAGTCGTCGGTGTTCTGAACCACCGAGTAGCAAAAACATCAAAGACCCCGTTGGAATTCCAGGGTTTAATTAGTCCCCGTAACCAATGTTTCTTCTAAGAGGTCACTGAAAGGATCATATGTTTGCATGACGCACCAGACATTGCTCATAATACCAGCCTCTGGTCTGTCTGGTCGAGATGTTATTATTCCAAGACAGCTGGAATACAGCTTTGGCTGTTCCGAACCCCAGGCTGTATTGTTCTGGCACCTGTATCATGCGTGTCAGAAACAAGTGTTATGGAGACGGTTGACATCTAAACCTATACTCATTCACTGTGTTTTGACTTGATAACGAGAATCTCACTCCAGTACATATCCTTCATGTATTAGTTTTGATAAAACATGATAGGATACACCTTCAGACAATGCCCACAGATCATCTCTCTGAATGTGACATTGTCCAGCCATTTAAACAAACTGCGTCATGATTGTCAAACGATCGACAAGAAATACACCTACCTGGACCTGTTTCTGAAAATCATCTTTGTTCTATGTGTTCTGCATGTGTTCTGTGCTCTGTGTTCTATCATCCTGTGCAGTTGTGAAATTTGAGGAAAGTCCTATCATAATAACATGTCTGACATCAAGTTGTCAGTAGGGGATGAGATGAGGAAATAATTAACTTTCTGTGAAAAATATTTACTCTTTTGTAGGTCAGAGTATGTACTTAGTTCTGTCAGGGATAACTTTCTTCTTTTTATCACAAGTTTGCAGTGGCCATGCTGAGACTTTACATAAAATATAAGTACTGACTTATTTGCATTGTTACGAGTCAGTCTGTATCAGTTCCAGTGAGATGCTATCCTAGATGTGACCAGTGTGGTTCAGACCGATACAAAAGGGATGAATGCATTACAATCGACAACTTCTCTCTGACAATTGTTGTCTTGCAAAGCCCTCCGTAAATATTGAGGGAGTTCCTTTTCGTCCTGATGTGCTACACATTCTGTCCTTGCGAAAGTTCAGCCACAGTACCAGCTTTACCCCAGTCCTGTATCCTCAGCACCAACATTAAAGAGGCTTTATACTGAGCTGTCCTCCAAGGCATTAACAAAACTGCATTCTTGTTCGAAGCGTCACAGGTGGCCCAGTCGTCTAAGCCCCGCGATTCGCTGTGCAGAGTTGCGTCCCTTGGCCACGCCAGAAACCAAGATTGTGGGTTCGAATCCCGGTTCGCCCCGATTATGTTTCTAGGTTTGTCAGCACCATACCCGTGTTCGTGGGTTTCACCGAAGTGGTAACCGTCTGAGATCTGCATCACTTCGGGCTTTCCTCCCACATTAACTGATATACTGTTAAAAGCGGCGTTAAACCCAACTCACTCACTCATTTGCTTACATCCATCATTCACCAAGATCAGCCTTTGAAATTTATGCTAGTCCAGTAGCCTGAGACTTCTAAGCTGTGCTGATGACAAGTGAAAATCAGACGATGGTGCTTCTCATTGGCTAGTAGCATTCGTGGGGTATAATTCTGAACCAGTTCTCAATGCTTCAGTATTGCTGCAAGTTGAAACAGAATAAAACTGACATAAAATGGAGTTTCGATCCAGCAGGACTAGCCACAAACCCAAGGACTGGTGAAATAAGGTTTAACTTATAACTGTAATACTGTTAAAAGCGGCGTTAAACCCAACTCGCTCACTCGAAGCGTCATTAAAACACTCACTGAAATATCCGAGGTAAATAATCGAGGTTGGACCAGACAATCCAGTGATTGACATCATGAGCATCGATCCACGCAATTGGAATACGATTACATGCATCAACCAGGTCAGCGAGCCTGACCCGGTCCCGTTAGTCGCCTCTTACGACAAGCACAGTCGCCTCTTACGGAAAGCATGGGTTGCTGAAGACCTATTCTATCCCGGATCTTCATAGCTAAAGCGAATGTAAGCTTCACCCTACCACGTCAGAGTGGAACCTCACATGTATGAATTGTTTTATAGGCATTTATTAGAAGTTGACTGGTGACAAAGTTGACCAATTTGTGGTTAAAAACGTTTAACATAATACCATGGCGATGTTTCAGTATAGATAATTATACCGTTGTCAAACAAAACTGACTTGAAAAGTAGCTATAATATTTCTTATTAAAAGAAGTAATTATCCTTAATTCATTAAATTGTGTCAACATTGTTACATGTTTGGTTTAGGGTTACATATAAAGCCGTATATATGTAACCTTGGCCACGTTTTGCCGTAACTTAAACATCGACTTTCGACAGATGTAGAGCTATTAAAGATCGCTTTGTGGAAGGGGCCCTTAACTTGGCAATGTGAGTGAGTGAGTGTGGTTTTACGCCGCATTTAGCAATATGCCAGCTATATCAGGGCGGGGGACACCAGAAATGGACTTCACACGTTGTACCCATGTGGGAATTTGAACACGGGTTTTCGGCGTGACGAGCGAACGCTTTGACCTCTAGACCACCCGACTGCCCCACTTGGCAATGTATTTAACTCGTGTAGTGTAGTCAAGGTAGCAGTTCAAATATATATCGTATATTTGAGGATAATGATGCCTTGGCACCATGAGTTGCGTATATTTTACAGGTGATGGTCAGTGAGATAGTGGGGTAATATAGTGTAGACATATTTGATCAAAGGATGTAGATATTGCGCGTATGATGGATCTGGAAACGTAGACCATGAAAGAGAAACTATTATAATAATGAGTATAAAGACTGATTGAAAAATCATTAAATTTTTATTGAGACTAGACGTTTTATATATTTTGCCATTTCCATGTCAGCCGAGCATTAAACACCTCAATGATCTGACGTAACGGATTTATATATATATGTTAAAGTTGCCACCAGGATTTGCATGGTGTTGGGTTGACTGTAAGTATTTCTGTCCCCATATAAATTCGGGAGGAATATTTCTTGCATTAAACAAGATTGCACCACCTCTTTCCATATCTATTTACAAGTATGATTGTACTTATCTATATATCATACCATTATAGAAATATTTATAGGAATGATTGTGTAGAAATTGTCCGTATGCATGCCCACCATACATAAACGGCCGGCACCGACTGCATGAACGTTTATGCAGTTGCATAGCATTTTGATACGGTCCCTAAACTATACTCCCCACACCGATGCGATTTATGCGGAAGTGAGGGAGTGTGATGGGAATTAGCGATGTAGGCAGTGTGCGGAGTTATAATTAGCAGCCATGTCCACGTGCCGGGAAATATGATTCTGTGAAAAATTCTGATTTGGAACTTGATGTGATTAAGACGAGACAAAGACAAAATCACGAACGCAGGTGGGGACCGTCAATGCCCACATCTACTGAGATATCACACCAAGGTTTTGACGACGTAAACAGGTAAATAGATCTATCTTAGTGCCAACAGTGGCGTTCTGTAAAATCGCTTCACCTTCATGACTCGTTCCTCCAGATTGTGTTTGGCCAAACTACAACTAATGGGCTAGCCTAGTTGGCGGCATTTCCAATCATATTTCCCAACTGGGAATATTTAAACATGATGCTTCACTGATGCATCTTTTGAATGTGGAGGAAAGCCGTTCAAAACTTCATTATCAGGAATCGATCGAGGCCCTGCAATATACATATCAGCAAACAAACACCTGCAATATCAGCACACAAGCACCTGCAGTATCAGCACATGAGTACCTGCAGTATCAGCACATGAGTACCTGCAGTATCAGCACATGAGTACCTGCAGTATCAGCAGACGGGCACCCGAAGTATCAACACATGAGCACCTGCAGTATCAGCAAACGAGTTCCTGCAGTATCAGCACATGAGTACCTGCAGTATCAACACATGAGCACCTGCAGTATCAGCAAACGAGTTCCTGCAGTATCAGCACATGAGTACCTGTAGTATCAGCACATGAGCACCTGCAGTATCAGCAAACGAGTTCCTGCAGTATCAGCACATGAGTACCTGCAGTATCAACACATGAGTACCTGTAGTATCAACACATGAGTACCTGCAGTATCAGCACATGAGCACCTGCAGTATCAGCACATGAGTACCTGCAGTATCAGCACATGAGTACCTGCAGTATCAGCACATGAGCACCTGCAGTATCAACACATGAGCACCTGCAGTATCAGCACATGAGTACCTGCAGTATCAACACATGAGTACCTGTAGTATCAACACATGAGCACCTGCAGTATCAGCACACGAGTACCTGCAGTATCAGCAAACGAGTTCCTGCAGTATCAGCACATGAGTACCTGCAGTATCAACACATGAGCACCTGCAGTATCAGCACATGAGCACCTGCAGTATCAGCACATGAGCACCTGCAGTATCAGCACATGAGTACCTGCAGTATCAACACATGAGTACCTGTAGTATCAACACACGAGCACCTGCAGTATCAGCACATGAGTACCTGCAGTATCAGCACATGAGCACCTGCAGTATCAACACATGAGCACCTGCAGTATCAGCACATGAGTACCTGCAGTATCAACACATGAGTACCTGTAGTATCAACACATGAGCACCTGCAGTATCAGCACACGAGTACCTGCAGTATCAGCACATGAGCACCTGCAGTATCAGCACATGAGTACCTGCAGTATCAACACATGAGTACCTGTAGTATCAACACATGAGCAGCTGCAGTATCAGCAAACGAGTTCCTGCAGTATCAGCACATGAGTACCTGTAGTATCAACACATGAGCACCTGCAGTATCAGCAAACGAGTTCCTGCAGTATCAGCACATGAGTACCTGCAGTATCAACACATGAGCACCTGCAGTATCAGCAAACGAGTTCCTGCAGTATCAGCACATGAGTACCTGTAGTATCAGCACATGAGCACCTGCAGTATCAGCAAACGAGTTCCTGCAGTATCAGCACATGAGTACCTGCAGTATCAACACATGAGTACCTGTAGTATCAACATATGAGCACCTGCAGTATCAGCAAACGAGTACCTGCAGTATCAGCACATGAGCACCTGTAGTATCAACATATGAGCACCTGCAGTATCAGCAAACGAGTACCTGTAGTATCAGCACATGAGCACCTGCAGTATCAGCACATGAGCACCTGCAGTATCAGCACATGAGCACCTGCAGTATCAGCACATGAGTACCTGCAGTATCAACACATGAGTACCTGTAGTATCAACACATGAGCACTTGCAGTATCAGCAAAAGAGTTCCTGCAGTATCAGCACATGAGTACCTGTAGTATCAGCACATGAGCACCTGCAGTATCAGCACATGAGCACCTGCAGTATCAACACATGAGTACCTGCAGTATCAGCACATGAGCACCTGCAGTATCAACACATGAGTACCTGCAGTATCAGCACATGAGCACCTGCAGTATCAGCACATGAGCACCTGCAGTATCAGCACATGAGTACCTGCAATATCAGCACATGAGCACCTGCAATATCAGCACATGAGTACCTGCAGTATCAGCACATGAGCACCTGCAGTATCAGCACATGAGTACCTGCAGTATCAGCACATGAGTACCTGCAGTATCAGCACATGAGCACCTGCAGTATCAGCACATGAGCACCTGCAGTATCAACACATGAGCACCTGCAATATCAGCACATGAGTACCTGCAGTATCAGCACACGAGCACCTGTAGTATCAGCACATGAGCACCTGCAGTATCAGCACACGAGCACATGAGTACCTGCAGTATCAGCACATGAGTACCTGCAGTATCAGCACATGAGTACCTGCAGTATCAGCACATGAGCACCTGCAGTATCAGCACATGAGCACCTGCAGTATCAACACATGAGCACCTGCAATATCAGCACATGAGTACCTGCAGTATCAGCACACGAGCACCTGTAGTATCAGCACATGAGCACCTGCAGTATCAGCACACGAGCACCTGTAGTATCAGCACATGAGCACCTGCAGTATCAGCACACGAGCACCTGCAGTATCAGCACACAAACACCTGCAGTATCAGTTGACGGGCACCCGAAGTATCAACACATGAGTACCTGCAGTATCAGCACATGAGCACCTGCAATATCAGCACATGAGTACCTGCAGTATCAGCACACGAGCACCTGTAGTATCAGCACATGAGCACCTGCAGTATCAGCACACGAGCACCTGCAGTATCAGCACATGAGTACCTGCAGTATCAGCACATGAGTACCTGCAGTATCAGCACATGAGCACCTGCAGTATCAGCACACGAGCACCTGCAGTATCAGCACACAAACACCTGCAGTATCAGTAGACGGGCACCCGAAGTATCAACACATGAGCACCTGCAGTATCAGCACATGAGCACCTGCAGTATCAGCACATGAGTACCTGCAAGGCTTAAAATAGTGCTGGGGGCGGTCGGGTAGCCTAGTGGTTAAAGCTTTCGCTCGTCATGCCGAACACCTGGGTTCGATTCCTGAAAATAGTGCTGCATGAATGATTAGGCATGAATGAAGGCAATACCCTGTCTTACCCATTCAATAATAGATTAGTCCGGCAGGCAGTTGATTTCCAGTGTGTGATACAAGTTTTTATTTTTCTGAAATATCACTTATCAAAATCTGCAGTTCCGTCAAAACTGTCGTTAAATCTGTATTCATTTATAGATATTGTTCTAATAATTGACTATTGAAGCTAGTTTTGAATAGTTATGCTGTATCCGCAATTTTCCACCATTTCCTGTTAATGTTGAACCATGTGAAAAGTGACTTGACTCACATGCGACCGATGTGATAGGGCTGTTGACTCTTTTGTTCTTATACAATTTGCTGTTGATAAATTTATGTAAAATAAAAATATTTCGAATCAGATTATTTGCAGATAAATTTCTTTGCACATTTAAAAACTAAAAAAAAATGCAACCTATGGAAAGCATGTGTTGGCTCAGTGGCAAGATTCTGTATCGGTAAGTTTGGCCGTTGTTGAAAGACTGATTTTCAAATAAGATTGTATTCAAAGTGACATCTATAGAAACTCAGTAATTAGGCGTCATTTAGTGATTGTAAGAAATGAGGGCCAGCACGAGTAGGTACAATGTGTACCTCAGGTTGTATATCCAGCAGATTTCAGATCATGGTCACATCAGAAGCCCACTGTTCTGTAGTGTAGGAATCTGGGAGTTTGATCGAATCAGAGAGTAGCTAGACTCGCAATGTTACTGGGAGACCTGGACACTTATATTGACCAGGTAGGTGTGTAGAATCTGACAGTACCGTGTATTCACTGTACCGTTTGGAACAGTTATGTTTTTACTAAGGACAAGGTATGATAAGCGCCCTTTTTCTCTCACAGGATATATGCATGATTTAAGAAATGAGCAAAATGATTACATATTATTATGAGTGAGTGAGTATGGTTTTACGCTGCTTTTAGCAATATTCCAGCAATATCACGGCAGGGGACACCAGAAATGGGCTTCACACATTGTACCCATGTCGGGAATCGAAACCCGGGTCTTCTGCGTGACGAGTGAACGCTTTAACCACTAGGCTACCCGACCGCCCCTACACTGGATACGGGCAAAATGCGTCCGATTTCCATTAGTTTCACTACATTAGGGAATTGTGTTAAACCCACTATTTGAATGGTGATTATGGTTGTAGTTTGGATGCAGTTCCATGTTAATATGATGAATAGCAGGCAGTGTTTGATTCAGACTGAGAAGATGGGCCACAAGCCGACCAAACCCATGCCTGACAAGAACCCTGATGGTCAGCTGTTCATCTCACCCAAGTACTCCGCCCATCACATGGAGGTGAGGTCATGTTGTAATAATAATAATAATAATAATAATAATAATAATAATAATAATAATAATAAAAAATAAAAAAATATAAAAAAAAATAAATTTTTTTTTATTTATGATGCACCAAATCTACTCCTAAAACATCTGCACTTAATTATTGCTCTCAGCTCCATGGGGAATATGCAACACAAGCTGTCTATGAAGCGCTAGAAGGTTAATAATAATAATAATAATAATAAATAATATATTTATGATGCACCAAATCTACTCCTAAAACATATGCACTTAATTATTGTTCTCAGCTCCATGGGGAGTATGCAACACAAGCTGTCCATGAAGCGCTAGAAGGTTAACAGTCACATTAACATCTCGTCCTACCGGGTACCCATTCACTGTTTTGGGAACAGGGGCATATTTCAAATAAAATCACTTGCCTCAGTAGACGCCTCATATGCTACTTGTGGTTCAATGTGGGGCAGGACCGAAGTCGGAGGAACTCTCAGAAGTCATGCTTCTGAACACGGCAACTGATCCAACTACCAGCTCCCGTGTGTCTGATTGTAACATGTTCATGGTGCCCAACTTGTTTGTTTATTGTTTAACGTCTCACTCAGCAATCTTCCAGCTATATGATGGTGGTCTGTAAATAATCGATTCTGGACCAGACAATCCAGTGATTGACATCATGAGTTTCGATTCAAGCAATTGGGTTACAATGATATCGATCAACCAAGTCAGCAAGTCTGGCCACCTGATCCCGTTAGTCGCCTCTTACGATAAGCATAGTCGCCTTTTATGGCAAGCATGGGTTGCTGAAGAAGAATTCTACCACATATCTTCAGGAGTTGAGGCTCGTATCTATTTTATTGATTATAGCTATCAGAATCATAAATCAAGGCAGCAGAGGTTAGAGCTGGACGGGCTACACCAGGGACGTGCTGTGTACCAGTGGTGTTACACCATGTTTATAGACGAATCAAGGTTTTGCCCCCACTGCTGGGGCAACAATTCTTGACCATGATCGGTGTGGGGCAGTATCACACATGACAGGCAAATTGATTTGGTTATTGAGAATGGACATTTGACTTGCCAGCCATATATTGACAAAATTTAGCGTCCTGTTGTTTCATTCGCTAGAATTATCGTCAGAAATTTGGAACTGCAAGATGACAATGCCCGACCACTTCTTACCCAGGTCGTCACCGACTATCCCTGAAGAAAAGAATTACGGACATTGGACTGGCCCGCTAAGTCATCAGCAGTATGTCATTTATGTGTCATGCATCACGCAACACGGTAGACACACTGTGGTTGACCTACATGCCCAAAATTAGTTTTAGGATATATAGATATATAACCTTGTTTGTGTTTCCCCTGTGAGCTGCTGCACAAGAGCCTGGCGCAGCTCCTGGTGTTTTAGGATATATAGATATATAACCTTGTTTGTGTTTCCCCTGTGAGCTGCTACACAAGAGCCTGGTGCAGCTCCTGGTGTTTTAGGATATATAGATATATAACCTTGTTTGTGTTTCCCCTGTGAGCTGCTGCACAAGAGCCTGGCGCAGCTCCTGGTGTTTTAGGATATATAGATATATAACCTTGTTTGTGTTTCCCCTGTGAGCTGCTACACAAGAGCCTGGCGCAGCTCCTGGTGTTTTAGGATATATAGATATATAACCTTGTTTGTGTTTCCCCTGTGAGCTGCTACACAAGAGCCTGGCGCAGCTCCTGGTGTTTTAGGATATATAGATATATAACCTTGTTTGTGTTTCCCCTGTGAGCTGCTACACAAGAGCCTGGCGCAGCTACTTGTGTTTTAGGATATATAGATATATAACCTTGTTTGTGTTTCCCCTGTGAGCTGCTACATAAGAGCCTGGTGCAGCTCCTGGTGTTTTAGGATATATAGATATATAACCTTGTTTGTGTTTCCCCTGTGAGCTGCTGCACAAGAGCCTGGTGCAGCTCCTGGTGTTTTAGGATATATAGATATATAACCTTGTTTGTGTTTCCCCTGTGAGCTGCTACACAAGAGCCTGGCGCAGCTCCTGGTGTTTTAGGATATAAAGATATATAACCTTGTTTGTGTTTCCCCTGTGAGCTGCTGCACAAGAGCCTGGCGCAGCTCCTGGTGTTTTAGGATATATAGATACATAACCTTGTTTGTGTTTCCCCTGTGAGCTGCTACACAAGAGCCTGGCGCAGCTACTTGTGTTTTAGGATATATAGATATATAACCTTGTTTGTGTTTCCCCTGTGAGCTGCTACACAAGAGCCTGGCGCAGCTCCTGGTGTTTTAGGATATATAGATATATAACCTTGTTTGTGTTTCCCCTGTGAGCTGCTACACAAGAGCCTGGCGCAGCTCCTGGTGTTTTAGGATATATAGATATATAACCTTGTTTGTGTTTCCCCTGTGAGCTGCTACACAAGAGCCTGGCGCAGCTCCTGGTGTTTTCCTCCACCCCCCGGGAGACGGCCATTGGCCGTGCCTTCAGGAGGGTCATCAAGCAGGTCATCCCTCAGATGTTTCAAGTTGGGGAGGATATCTTGATGAAAGGTAATGCTTTCCAGGTTCTTACTGTTTCAGTCTTAAAGATTATTAAATCATAACGACATCTTTCGCATGTTTGTTATATTATGTTATTAGCAGCGAGAGCTTGTGTAAGGCTATGTTGATGTACATGGTGCAACATAAACAAATTATCATGATTATATTCTTTATTAGCATCATAATCATTATTAGTATGTTTTGTGAATGTGTGGTCAGTAGAGGTGTGGCCTGGCTGTGTTTGTGTGTCATCATACCCCCTTGATAGAACCCTTGACACAACCCATGACACAATCCTTGACACAACCCTTGATGCACCCCTTGACACAACCCTTGATGCACCCCTTGACACAACCCTTGACACAATCCTTGACACAATCCTGTCAAAATCCTTGACACAAAATCCTTGACACAACCCTTGATGCACCCCTTGACACAACCCTTGATGCACCCCTTGACACAACCCTTGACACAATCCTTGACACAATCCTGTCAAAATCCTTGACACAAAATCCTTGACACAACCCTTGATGCACCCCTTGACACAACCCTTGATGCACCCCTTGACACAACCCTTGATGCACCCCTTGACACAACCCTTGACACAATCCTTGACACAATCCTGTCAAAATCCTTGACACAAAATCCTTGACACAACCCTTGATGCACCCCTTGACACAATCCTTGATGCAACCCTTGACACAATCCTTGACACAACGCTTGACACAATCCTTGAAACGACCCTTGAAGCAACCTTGACACAATCTTTGACACAATCCTTGATGCAACCCTTGACACAACCCTTGACACACAACCCTTGACACAATCCTTGAAACAACCCTTGTACAGAACTCTTGATAGAATCCTTGACACAATCCTTGACAACACTGATAACAACAAAGCTCAAACACATTCACTCTGGATGAAATGATACATTGGTCCACCAGTGCATTATGAGTTTTCATGCGATGATATGTTACACTTTCTTAGTACACCTTGATTAAAAACATGAAAAGAATTGGAAAATATCTGTTAACACCAAGTTGGCAGTGCACATGCTGACCAAATCCTGCAATCGACCGAAATCTGCATGACAGTTTACGAACAGGATTTCATTTCATTAAGCGATTTTGATTGGACTGTGCATAGACTCGTTAGTCCAGCCAAAATCTAACTCCATAATACCAGCCTAGTTCGGCAAGGGTGGAAGCTGGACTTTTATAGCCAGTTAACTCTCATGCCTCGGGAAGATGCAGGTGGTTAGGCGCGCTGACTTGGTTGATGCATGTCATCGTATCCCAATTGCGAAGATCGATGCTCTTGAAGTCAATCATTGGATTGTCTGGTCCAGACTTGACCGCCGTCATTTGCTTGATAACGGTGTTAGAATTTACACCGAAACGTCGCCCAATTGTAATAAAGAAGTTGCTCATCCATAACAATTTTGTCTTAGTTACAATTCCAACTTCTAAATGCCACTCAAAGAAGTCGCCGTCATAAAGCTGGAATAATGCTGAGTGCAGTGTTAAGCAACAAACAAACAAATATACATACAAAACCCAAGAACATACAAAAAAACAAACCTAGTTTTCAACACACTTCTCGTATCGACAGGGAGCTTTTTAATTCCAGTCAGGAAGAAGTTTCCTGAAGCCACCCTGAATAACCCATTCACGGCAATTTTGAGGTCATCGGGACAATACCACATTTTATATATTTATATGCTTTATATATAACATAAGTAAGCACCATATGGCTTCACATCCTGGTCTGGTGCAGGGTTCGGGTAGCCATAGGGGCGGTGGGGTAGCCTAGTGGTTAAAGCGTTCGCTCGTCACACCGAAGACCCAGGTTCGATTCCCGACATGGGTACAATGTGTGAAGCCCATTTCTGGTGTCCCCCGCTGTGATATTGCTGGAATATTGCTAAAAGCGGCATAAAACCATATTCACTCACTCAGGTAGCCATACGCTGCTCAGAACATGAAATCCAACTGCGGTATATCAGGCCATAACGTTTGAGCAAAATAACCACCAATAATGTCCTCCCTCCTAACATTAGGTGATGAGTGCTCTGGCATCTACTTCATCATGGAGGGAACTGTTGCCGTGGTTACTGAGGATGGGATGGATATCATTGCAACCTTAACTTCTGGTCAATTCTTTGGTGAAGTGTCAACATTGTACAAGCTTCCTGTGACTGCCAGGGTCAGAGCTGAGAGTCTGTAAGTTGCTGAGGTTGTCTCCCCTGTGCTGTGGGTTGAATGAAAGTAGCTAGCAGCTCTATAGTATTCTGTACAAAAGTTGAACTAACATTAGGCTGATAATCAGGATGAAATAACATTTGAGTTTGGGCAGTGAGTGAGTGAGTGAGTGAGTATGGTGAGTGTCTGGTGTTATATAACCACATGCTGCATGTAGGTGTGAGTGTCTGGTGTTATATAACCACATGCTGCCTGTAGGTGTGTCTGGTGTTATATAACCACATGCTGCCTGTAGGTGTGTGTCTGGTGTTATATAACCACATGCTGTCTGTAGGTGTGTGTGTCTGGTGTTATATAACCACATGCTGCCTGTAGGTGTGAGTGTCTGGTGTTATATAACCACATGCTGCATGTAGGTGTGTGTCTGGTGTTATATAACCACATGCTGTCTGTAGGTGTGAGTGTCTGGTGTTATATAACCACATGCTGCCTGTAGGTGTGAGTGTCTGGTGTTATATAACCACATGCTGCATGTAGGTGTGAGTGTCTGGTGTTATATAACCACATGCTGCATGTAGGTGTGTGTCTGGTGTTATATAACCACATGCTGTCTGTAGGTGTGTGTGTCTGGTGTTATATAACCACATGCTGCCTGTAGGTGTGAGTGTCTGGTGTTATATAACCACATGCTGCATGTAGGTGTGAGTGTCTGGTGTTATATAACCACATGCTGCATGTAGGTGTGTGTCTGGTGTTATATAACCACATGCTGCATGTAGGTGTGTGTCTGGTGTTATATAACCACATGCTGCATGTAGGTGTGTGTCTGGTGTTATATAACCACATGCTGCCTGTAGGTGTGTGTCTGGTGTTATATAACCACATGCTGCCTGTAGAAGTGTCTGGTGTTATATAACCACATGCTGCCTGTAGGTGTGAGTGTCTGGTGTTATATAACCACATGCTGCCTGTAGGTGTGTCTGGTGTTATATAACCACATGCTGCCTGTAGGTGTGTCTGGTGTTATATAACCACATGCTGCCTGTAGGTGTGTCTGGTGTTATATAACCACATGCTGCCTGTAGGTGTGTCTGGTGTTATATAACCACATGCTGCCTGTAGGTGTGTCTGGTGTTATATAACCACATGCTGCCTGTAGGTGTGTCTGGTGTTATATAACCACATGCTGCCTGTAGGTGTGTCTGGTGTTATATAACCACATGCTGCCTGTAGGTGTGAGTGTCTGGTGTTATATAACCACATGCTGCATGTAGGTGTGTGTTTGGTGTTATATAACCACATGCTGCCTGTATGTGTGTGTCTGGTGTTATATAACCACATGCTGCCTGTAGAAGTGTCTGGTGTTATATAACCACATGCTGCATGTAGGTGTGTCTGGTGTTATATAACCACATGCTGCCTGTAGGTGTGTCTGGTGTTATATAACCACATGCTGCCTGTAGGTGTGTCTGGTGTTATATAACCACATGCTGCCTGTAGGTGTGTCTGGTGTTATATAACCACATGCTGCCAGTAGGTGTGTCTGGTGTTATATAACCACATGCTGCCTGTAGGTGTGTCTGGTGTTATATAACCACATGCTGCATGGAGGTGTGTCTCTGGTGTTATATAACCACATGCTGTCTGTAGGTGTGAGTGTCTGGTGTTATATGACCACATGCTGCCTGCAGGTGTGAGTGTCTGGTGTTGGAAGAGGACCATGTAAGGGAACTTCTCCCTAACAGCAGCAAGGTGGTGGACATCATCAACTGGTTTGTGGCCAAGAAGTACATCCCTACCTCCAGTCATGTGGACTCAGCCAGGATCTACAGGAGGACACTGTTGGTGTCATTACAAGAGGTCAATAACTACACCAGAGCTCTCTTGTTGAGATGTTTTGTTTAACTATTGCATATTCACTAGTCAACTGACTGTTTATAGACATGTAAGCACATGCTATACCATTTTCAAAATGCTTCATACTCAACATTTTTAAAAATTGACATACCGGATCAGGTGGTTGATGCATGTCATCGATCTAATATAAATTGCATGGATCGATGCTCATGATGCACAATCACTGGATTGTCTGGTCCAGACTCGATTATTTTACAGACTGCCGTCATATAGCTGGAATATTGCTGAGTATGGCGTTAAAAAACAAACAAACAAACAAAATGGACATGGAATGCTAAAACAAGCATGCATGTAAGTTATGAAGACCTTATTATCAAAATATTCAGCTTATCTAAAACCAGCATCAAATTGTCTAAATCCTCTCACCATGCCTGTTCAGCTGAAGAAAACGTCAGTTTGCTTTTACAGCTGCCACTCTTTGAAGGCTGGTCTGAAGTTTCACTGAAAAACCTGGTCTTGTCAGTGTCAGATGACAGTGTAGTTCTGTATCCTCAGTCATCCTTCATCACCTGTGTAGGAGACCCACCTAACATCCTTCACATCCTGCTCAGGGGGAGGTAAGTCCTGGAGACCCACCTAACATCCTTCACATCCAGCTCAGGGGGAGGTAAGTCTAGGAGATCCACCTAACATACTTCACATCCTGCTCGGGGGAGGTAAGTCTTGGAGACCTGCCTAACATACTTCACATCCTGCTCGGGGGATGTAAGTCTAGGAGACCCACCTAACATACTTCACATCCTGCTCGGGGGAGGTAAGTCTAGGAGACCCACCTAACATACTTCACATCCTGCTCAGGGGGAGGTAAGTCTAGGAGACCCACCTAATATCCTTCACATCCTGCTCAGGGGGAGGTAAGTCTTGGAGACCCACCTAACATACTTCACATCCTGCTCAGGGGGAGGTAAGTCTAGGAGATCCACCTAACATACTTCACATCCTGCTCGGGGGAGGTAAGTCTAGGAGACCCACCTAACATACTTCACATCCTGCCCGGGGGAGGTAAGTCTAGGAGACCCACCTAACATTCTTCACATCCTGCTCGGGGGAGGTAAGTCTAGGAGACCCACCTAACAACCTTCACATCCTGCTCAGGGGAGGTAAGTCTAGGAGACCCACCTAACAACCTTCACATCCTGCTCAGGGGGAGGTAAGTCTTGGAGACCCACCTAACATACTTCACATCCTGCTCGGGGGAGGTAAGTCTAGGAGACCCACCTAACATTCTTCACATCCTGCTCGGGGGAGGTAAGTCTAGGAGACCCACCTAACAACCTTCACATCCTGCTCGGGGGAGGTAAGTCTAGGAGACCCACCTAACAACCTTCACATCCTGCTCAGGGGGAGGTAAGTCTAGTTTTAACCTGGCAACTTCCATTTCAGACTACGCTTGAAAAATATGTTGACTCAGTTCTCGTTTAAAATTTTGAAAAGTGAACAAACGAACATTCGGGAACGTCTAATAAATGGTTGAGATTGTATGGCAGTGTTTCCCACGTACTGTGTAACACCTCCTCCGTTCAAATGTTTATCCCACGGAAGCGAGAGAAAGACGATATTTTTACGGAATCAGTCATATGGGCCGTAACTGTTGTTCGTAATGAAAGGTTGTTTTGACGTGACCCGTAATGGGATGTCCTCAGATCTTTGTTTAGCGATAGCAAGAACTTCGATCTGATTTTAATGAGATTGCGCCCTTCATCACCTGTGTAGGAGACCCACCTAATATCCTTCACATCCTGCTCAGGGGGAGGTAAGTCTGAGTTGAGCTGCAGCACCAGAAATGAAATCAAAAGACAATTTCCTACAGAGATCTCAACAGATTTGTGAGCTGTGGCGTTACTGTGAAATGGTTGATTTACCTTGCACTCCAGAACCCAGTGTTAACAATAGTTATTCAGCTATGAAAGACCATATGGGTTTTTTGGTATAGATGAGGCTCTGACTCTAATCACAACGATTAGACACCATAGTCCGAGTGGACCATCTACTTTAAGCATGACCAATATTCAAAGAGCCTTAGCACCAAAAGTATTTAAACAACAATGTTTTGATGTTGAAAAAGATTTTTCAAGAACTCTATGCTTAACTATGAGAACGTAGTATGATTGCCTCTGCTTAATGCATGCCAAATATGTTCCTTGTGCCTTTGGTTATGACATGCATGTCCCCGGGCGTGTCATACTGGACCAACTTAAGCACACTTATCAATCAAATAAATATCATTGGCCCATGTTGATGGGCCTATCATAAAAAAAATCATAGCCCTTATCAAGAAAAGAGTATGTTTAATTAAATCTACCAGATCAAAGATGTTCTGATTAACATACTAAATGAATGACAGATATCCCAATTCATAAATGGATTAACTATTTGTTTTGATATTTGTAAATTTGTCATTGTTAATTCCACATAATTTCTTCCATGTTGCTGTGGCAGATGCCTACATTTGTTAGCCTTCATAAAGGACTTCGTTGGTTTCAATCCAGCTGATGACTCATTTTTCGTGAAATTGTTCTATCATCAAGGTGAATTAAGGTGGAAAAAAGAAGTTCCCCTAATGCCAAGTGATGTTTAACTGACAATTCAGTTGGTTAATGCCTGGTTATAGACAAAGGAGCCATGCTTTAATCGTAAGTTAAAGTTACCATGAAGAGAAGATGTGAACCAGATGTTCTGTCTCCAGGGCTGTCATCTCAGGGAAGTCTGGAGTCTGTGTAGAAACGACAGCCGAGAAATACCCCATTGTCATCGGGGAGACAGGTGGGTCTGACATTGTCATCGGGGAGGCAGGTGGGTCTAACATTGTCATCGGGGAGGCAGGTGGGTCTGACATTGTCATCGGGGAGGCAGGTGGGTCTGACATTGTCATCGGGGAGGCAGGTGGGTCTGACATTGTCATCGGGGAGGCAGGTGGGTCTGACATTGTCATCGGGGAGGCAGGTGGGTCTGACATTGTCATCGGGGAGACGGGGGGGTCTAACATTGTCATTTGGGAGGCAGGTGGGTCTGACATTGTCATCGGGGAGGCAGGTGGGTCTGACATTGTCATCGGGGAGGCAGGTGGGTCTGACATTGTCATCGGGGAGGCAGGTGGGTCTGACATTGTCATCGGGGAGACGGGGGGGTCTAACATTGTCATCGGGGAGGCAGGTGGGTCTGACATTGTCATCGGGGAGGCAGGTGGGTCTGACATTGTCATCGGGGAGACGGGGGGGTCTAACATTGTCATCGGGGAGGCAGGTGGGTCTGACATTGTCATCGGGGAGGCAGGTGGGTCTGACATTGTCATTGGGGAGGCAGGTGGGTCTGACATTGTCATTGGGGAGATAGGGGATGGGGGGTCCTAACATTGTCATTGGGGAGACGGGTGGGTCTTACATTGTCATTGGGGAGATGGGTGGGTCTAAAGTTGTCATCGGGGAGGCAGGTGGGTCTAACATTGTCAATGGAGAGGCAGTTGGGTCTAGCACTGTCATCATTGGGGCAAGTAGATCTAACATCGGCATCGGGGAGGTGGGTCTAACATTGTCATTTGGGAGGCAGGTGGGTCTAACATTGTCATTGGGGAGGCAGGTGGGTCTAACATTGTCATTGGGGAGGCAGTTCTAACATAGTCATTGGGGAGACAGGTTGGTCTTACATTGTCATCAGGAAGGTGGGTCTAACAATGTCATTGGGAAGCAGGTAAAAAATTGTCATCGGAGAGACGGGTGGGTCTAAAATTTTAATCGGGGAGATGGATGGGTCTAACATTGGCATCGGGGAGATGGGTCTTACATTGTCATTGGGGAGGCAGGTGGGTCTAAGATTGTCATCGGGGAGGCAAGCCTAAAATTGTCATCGGGGAGACGGGTGATTCTAAAATTGTCAACAGGGAGGCGGTCTAACATTGTCATCGGGGAGGCGGATGGGTCTAGCATTGTCATCGGGATGGTAAACCATTCATAGAGAATGACCTTCTTTGCTTGAGGGAGGGACTGAGTTGTGTTTTACTATGTTTTTAGCAACTGTACATCAATATGGGGGGGTGGGGGGTGGGGGGGGGTGGGGGGTGGGGGGCACACCAGAAATGGGCTTCACACATTGTACCCATGTGGGTAATTGAACCTGGACCTTTCACGTGCAAGTGAACGCTGTAACCAAAAGGCTACCCCAAGACCTCCATTTGTCTGAGCGCTTTCCTTTAATAAGTTTAATAAGTGACAAGTCTCTATATGCTTTACATGTTTACAAAGAGTAGATGGCTTGAATAGCTGTCTTAAAGTAAACTTGTTGAAATGTACAGCATTAAAGGTAACTGTTTCCAGTGAAAACAGACAATATGTGGTGAAAAATATATGAACTCCTTCATAGTTACCCATGGCATTTATTTTTAGGATTATTTGTAAAGAAGGCGAGCATGCTGAATGTGATGACAGTGACACAGTGCCAGGTGGTGTCGGTCTCACTGGAGCATCTGACAGCATGTCTGGAGCAGGTGGGTGGTGTGCCTCCACGTCAGAAGATCCGGGGTAGAATAGGTCTACAGCAACCCATGCTTACCGTAAGAAGCGACTACGCTTGTTGTAAGAGACGACTAACCGGATCAGGTGGTCAAACTCGCTGGCTTGGTTGATGCATGTCATCATATCCCAATTGTGTAGATCAATGCTCATGATGTCAGTCACTGGATTATCTGGTCCAGTCTCGATTATTTACAGATCGCCATCATATAGCTGGAATACTGCTGAGATCATATCTGTAAGTGAAGATGATGTCATATATTGTTCATGACATGAAAAATGATTTCTTGACATGATTGAGAGTCTCTGAGGTACAACACATCCTTCCCATATAGCAACTCACTCTAAGATATGCAGAACCATGAGCACAATTCATGGGCAATTCCCTCTTCCTTCCCAGGGTGCCACAGGCTGCAGAGAATTCTGGGAGAGGAGGACAAAGTTGTGGGAGAACTTTGTTCATCATCGGGAGAACTTGACTGACATACACCAGGATGTGTTGCAGTATGAGGTGAGAGTTATGAGAGAACTTTGTTCATCATCATATGAAACTGACAGATTTTCACCAGGATTCATTGCAGTATGAGGTGAGAGTTATGGGAGAACTTTGTTCATCATCGAGAGACATACACCCGGACGCTGTGCAGTATGAGGTGAGAGTTATGGGAGAACTTTGTTCATCATCGAGAGACATACACCCGGACGCGGTGCAGTATGAGGTGAGAGTTATGGGAGAACTTTGTTCATCATCGTGAGAGCCTGACAGATTTTCACCAGGACGTGTTGCAGTATGAGGTGAGAGTTATGGGAGAACATTTGTTCATCATCGTGAGACATACACCCGGACGCTGTGCAGTATGAGGTGAGAGTTATGGGAGAACTTTGTTCATCATCGTGAGAGCCTGACAGATTTTCACCAGGATGTGTTGCAGTATGAGGTGAGAGTTATGGGAGAACTTTGTTCATCATCGTGAGACGCGGTGCAGTATGAGGTGAGATTTTTTGTTTGTTGTTTAACGCCACACTCAGCAATATTCCAGCTATATGACGGTGGTCTGTAAATAATCGAGTCTGGACCAGACAATCCAGTGATTGACATAAGCATCGATTTATGCATTTGGGAGTCAGCGAGTCTGATCTGATCCCATTAGTCGCCTCTTACGACAAGCATCTATTCAAATTCGGATCCTCAGGAGTGAGTGAGTGAGTGAGTGAGTTGGGTATACACGCAATTGGGACATGCATCAACCAAGTCAGCAAGCCTGACCACCTGATCCCGTTAGTCGCCTCTTACAGCAAGCAGTCACTTTTTACATTAGGCATGGGTGGCTGAAGACCGATTCTTCCCTGAATCTTCATGCGTCTTGTGCTTTGTGTGAGATTGAGACATTCTTGCTATGTGAGTGAGTATGTTTTACGGCACTTTTAGCAATATTTCATCAATATCCTGGCAGGGGACACCAGATATGGGCTTCACACAAGGTACCCATGTGGGGAATCGAACTAGGACCTTTGGTGTCTTAAGTGAACACTTTAACTCCTAGACTACACCACCACCCCTCTTGCCATGTACTGAACTTGAAACATGAAAACCTCATGTGATCTGTGAAGTTCCTGCTTTAAACTTGTTGGGCCTGGCCTAGCACTCTGTAAGTGAATGAACTTGCTAGGCCTGGCCTAGCACTCTGTAAACTTGCTGGGTCTGGCCTAGCACTCTGTAAGTGCCTGTAAGTGAATGAGCTTGCATGTCTAGCACTGTTGCTATCCCTTACCATAAATTACTGTTGACTTATGGGAAGTCAGTGATCGCCCCCTGGAGGCAAGGCATCTTGTGATCTGCACTGTATGGTGGTGTGTTTGTAGTACTTTCTGTGACTTGAAGGTAAAGTTTTCAAACACTCCTAATTCTGTCATGGTTAAAACAAAGGGGTGTCACAATAAATCGAAATATCGATATATTGCTATTGGCAGAGACAATATAATATATGGTCTCTGCTATTGGTAGGCATCTAAAGTCAATAAATCAATTGTTAAATCAGTTTCCGATCAATAGTATTGACTTCAGTTAGGAATATCAATAAAATACATGCAATGCTGTTCAAATTTGTTTTTCTTTTGATCATGAGTGGTAGTAATTTACACATGGTAATGTGGAAATTTCTTTTTCTTAAATTATTAGGGTAAAGAAAAAACAAATCAGTCATATCTCAAACTTTACTTTTAATTTGTTGCTATGGTTATCACATTCAAAGGAAACTTCAGTTCCAAGGTTTAATTCAACTCTCAAATCCATCTAAAATGATACACTGAAAACTATCGATATTTATCGCAATTGTTGCTTTCAATATCAATAGTTATCGCAATAGTGATTTCCAGACCAATAGTCACCCCTATTAAAACATCACATAATTTTCTGTTTCTGTGTATTCTCAGTTTGTGAGTTATATAGACATTATATTCAGGTTATAACTTTCTGAAAGCCTACATGACCAGTGTACATTGACTTGGCCATTTTTCTCTCTGGTCCCAGTCCACCCAGCACTGTGGCACAGATCGTTGTTGTGTTCTGTCACTAGAGGGCGCTGATTGTATCATGAACATTTACGTATATCACAAAGTGAGTAACCCCAAACTTCAGATCAAAAATAACAAATCCTCTAACACTTTTTATGAAATCTTTTTCATACAAAGAATTTGTTCTTTTTTTCTGGGAATGAATGTGAGCACATCAAGTCCCAGTGAAGTGCCTTCAATATTACTGTACACAGGCATTGGGAAATGGCAATTCTTAACCCCTGATGGGGCACTGGCAAAACTTTCTAGAACTGTGCTGAAGAGACAACAAGGGGTTAAAGTGTGAGTGAGTGAGTTTGATTTTACACCGCTTTTAGCAATATTCCATCAACATCACGGCAGGGGACATCAGAAATGGGCTTCACACATGTCGGGAATCGAACCCAGGTCTTCGGCGTGACGAGCGAACGCTTTAACCACTAGCCTACCCGACTGTCCCAAGTGGTTTAAGATAACTCCTGGAATGATGGAACTTTTAGACTGACTTGTGTCTGTGTCAGGATGTGTGGAGTTCCCTCGTGCCAAGTGTTATGTGTGTTGAGCAGTCTGTGCCAAATATTTTTGAATTCATCGTCTGAGTTTGTCATTAGGAATAAATTTCTGCAGATTTTAGTGTTACTAGGACAATTTTTAGGTGAGCTTACTATAGTATACAGAAAGAAAATTTACTAGACTTGGTTTAGTAGTTTGAGTGGCAGATTTGGTACTTATGGACAGACAACATTTTGTAGTTTATAACTTTGGGATATGTCAGATGAACCAGAGGAGCGTGAGTCAGGCCAATACGAGTCAACATGTTTTAGGCAAATAAACTATGAAATAAAAGTTGACATATTTATGAATTTGTGCTGTTGGTCATCTGTCTTCAGCTGACAAACCTCAACCAGAAATATTTCATCCATATTTGTCATACATGTACTTGCAACCAAAATGTGGATTTCTCCTGAGTGCCGCTATCTCTCCGAACAGGTGACCTTCCAGTTCCTGTCTAACTCCTCCCTGTTCAAGAACACCACTCTGCCCCTCCTGCAGCATCTGGTGATGGAGTCTCACGTCCTGGGTGTCACTGATGGGGTGATGGCCTACTCCCAACATGACTCAAGTAGGTCCTCTGTCTAGTATATGCTGAAGTGTTACTATTAGTTCACCCAATCACCCGTAAAATAAACAAAAGTATTCATTGATATTAGTATGCTCTTGATTTTGCTTATTGGCTACACCCACCATCGCTCAAGTAAGGTTTGTGTCTTTGTGTCTGATATGGTGGAGTCTTGTGTTGTGTGTTGGATATGGTGGAGTCTTGTGTTGTGTGTTGGATATGGTGGAGTCTTGTTTTGTGTGTTGGATATGGTGGAGTCTTGTGTTGTGTGTTGGATATGGTGGAGTCTTGTGTGTTGGATATGGTGGAGTCTTGTGTTGTGTGCTGGGTATGGTGGAGTCTTGTGTTGAGTCTTGGATATGGTGGAGTCTTGTGTTGTGTGTTGGATATGGTGGAGTCTTGTGTTGTGTGTTTGATATGGTGGAGTCTTGTGTTGTGTGTTGGATATGGTGGAGTCTTGTGTTGTGTGTTGGATATGGTGGAGTCTTGTGTTGTGTGTTGGATATGGTGGAGTCTTGTGTTGTGTGTTGGATATGGTGGAGTCTTGTGTTGTGTGTTGGATATGGTGGAGTCTTGTGTCTTGGATATGGTTGAGTCTTATGTTGTGTCTTGGATATGGTGGAGTCTTGTGTTGTGTGTTGTATATGGTGGAGTCGTGTGTTGTGTCTTGGATATGGTGGAGTCTTGTGTTGTGTTTTGGATATGGTGGAGTCTTGTGTTGTGTGTTGGATATGGTGGAGTCTTGTGTTGTGTCTCGGATATGGTGGAGTCTTGTGTTGTGTCTCGGATATGGTGGAGTCTTGTGTCTTGGATATGGTAGAGTCTTATGTTGTGTCTTGGATATGGTGGAGTCTTGTGTTGTGTCTTGCGAACAGGGTGATTGCCAATAAGCAGTACAAACGAAGTAGGTTATTAGGCCTAGAACAAAGTGTACTAACAAAATATATGAATATTCCAGAACAGCGGACAATTCTACTAGTGCTGGAAGGAAGGCTGGAGGTTACGGAGCTAGCAGCTTCTCCTTTACAGACAGCTGGTTCTCCATCACAGACAGCTGGCTCTCCATCACAGACAGCTGGCTCTCCATCACAGACAGCTGGCTCTCCATCACAGACAGCTGGTGCTCCATCACAGACAGCTGGTTCTCCATCACAGACAGCTGGCTCTCCATCACAGACAGCTGGTGCTACCACACTGGTAGCAGGCTCCTCACAAAGGACTGGTTCTCCCTCACCAACAACTGGTTCTTCATCACAGAGGGCAGGTTCTTCCTCACCACCAGTAGGTGTGAAAAGGACAGTGACACAGGGCCAGATCATTGGTAATATATTCTTAATAAATGTTTCTTTAACTGTATAAATTCAAGAATAATTCTATAGAAGTCGAGTCTTAACTAGTCTAGCTTTTTCACCATCTTCCCGAGGCAAGGGGGGTTAACTGACTATGTGAACTGCCAACTTGCCGTCGACAGATATTTTGCAAATCTTTTCATGTTTTTAATCCAGGTGCTCAAGTGTTTTGATGCACTTTGCAGGGTAAGACCTGTTTTATTACAATATAGATCTTGATTATTGATCAGATCGTCTTGACTGGGTGCAGCCATTTTGTTTCAAGCAAATGCAAGTGATATGAGTGATGGAATTTTATTGGTCAATAGAAGGGACATGGAAGGGACATAACTCATAATAGCCACTGGTGGCGCTACGACTGAGTCTGGAAATTCCAGCCTAGTTCAGCAAGGGTGGGAACTGGACTTTCATAGTCAGTTGATGCCTTTGCCTCGGGAAGATGTGCTTTCACAGCAGGGACACCAGTGACGGCACAGATGTAAGTTGTAAGGGTGACTATTGAGGCATTTTTGACTATTGCGATACTATTGCAATAGTTAAAACAACTATTGCGATACTATTGCGATAGTGGCCCTACCATTGCGATAGTTTTCATTTGCAATTATAGCAGGCTTTAGCAGCATATATTTCAGCATTTTGACTGACACCATCAAAATAATTATAACTTTCTGATACTATTTGTAAAGAAAACAAGTAATGAGAAGAAAATAAGTTCCAATTGACCTCTCAAAAACATTTTAATACAAAATTTCACTTCATGTAACTGGTAAAGTCTTAGGTTACTGCAGTGTTTTAGTACCAATGTGAATGAATGTGATTGAATGACTAGTATTTGACTATACAAACTGTCAAACTCTTTAATTGTCACATTGGCATTCACTGAATGACTAAATGCGATTCAACATATCAATTAGGAAACAAAGTTGACAAAAACTGACATGTGGCGTCAGCCATCTTGTCAATGTTGCCTAGCGACGAGTAGCTAAGAGACGTAACTCTTAATCAAGCAGACAAAGTAGTGCAATCCAAACGAAAGCACGACAGAGGTTAGATGATCATAGGAGTTGTTTCTATGTTTTTTAAGAAAGTGAATGTACCAAACAAATAAACTATCGAAACTATTGATAGTTAGACAAACTATAGCCAATAGTATCGATTGTTTCAAGTTGCAATCGATAGTGTACTATCGTGAGACAAGCAATCGCAAACAATCGATAGTTCGATGTATCGTTACACCACTAGTAAGTTGACGCTCCTCTGTTTCAGCCAAAGTTCCAGGAGTCTCCACCATGGTCACATATAAAAGTGTGGGCAAATCATCTGTCATAAAGTTTTCCACACCAGTCCTCAAACAGGCGTTAATGAAGTTTGCTGCAACCAAGGGCAAAAGCTGAACTCTACCTAATCATTATCCTTATGAAGCATCGAAGGATGACTCAGCATATCTACATGGCCTTAAAATGATTGTGTGTCTTTATATCTGATGTTAGGTGGTGAACATGGGGGTATGGTTTTACGCCGCTTTTAGCAATATTCAAGCAACATCTGGGGACACCAGAAATAGGCTTGACACATTGTACCCATGTGGGGAATCGAACCCAGGTCTTCGGCGTGACGAGCAAACGCTTAAACCACTAGACTACCCCACAGCTCCTTAACACAAAAGTGTATATTTATATCTGATGTATTAGGTGGTTGTTAGCATGGCCTTAAAACAACTGTGTGTCTTTATACCAAATGGGATATGGTTGTCAGCATGACCTTAGAATGAAGTGTGTCTTCACATCTGATGTTAGGTGGTTGTCAGCATGACCTTAGAATGAAGTGTGTCTTCACATCTGAAGTTAGGTGGTTGTCAGCATGACCTTAGAATGAAGTGTGTCTTCACATTTGATGTTAGGTGGTCGTCAGCATGGCCTTAAAACAATGTGTGTCTTTATATCTGATGTCAAGTGGTTGTCAGCATGGTCTTAAAACAACTGTGTGTCTTTATATCTGATGTCAAGTGGTTGTCTGTAGTCATGCTGTCAGACATATGGGAATATCCGCCAATTGTTCATCCACAAGCAGACATACTTCATCAAGTCGATATACGTCAGTTGTTATGTAAGAGAACTCTGTTCTGTGAAATGTGGACTTTTTCTTGACTGGAATAAAAGATGGAGGTAAGGTGAATTAGGATTAACATCATGTTCAAGATGATTGCATGTGAGTGCGCAGGTGTTTTTGTTACTAATGCTTGTTTCATAGTAGGTCACTTACATAATATGCCACCCATGCTTGCTGTGAAAGGCGACTATGTTTGTCGTAAGAGGCAACTAAAGGGATCAGGTGGTCAGGCTCGCTGACTTGGTCAATGCATTTCATCGTATCCCAATTGTGTGGATCGATGCTCATGATGTCAATCACTGAATTGTCTGGTCCAGACTTGATTTTTTACAGACTGCCGTCATATAGCTGGAATATTGCTGAGTGAAGCGTTAAGCAACAGACAAACAAACAAACATAATATGCCCCATATTACCATGATACCCCACTACCCACTTGACCACAGACATGATCATAAAGATGTGTTGGGGAGGTAATCGTTTCTGTGTGGGCTGGGTCTTTAATCCAGCAGCAAGCAATATGATGTTAGCCTATGGGACACTCAGTGTAACATCTACACAACTGATCAGTTGCTGAAGACCTATTCTACCCCGGATCTTCATGGGTCAAGAACGCAACTGAAACAAAATTTGTAAAAATGTAACTTTTATTTGTGTGTATGCATGAAACATGTATTGAACACCGAGGATGCACGCACGCACGCACGCACACACACACACACACACACACACACACACACACCTCGACACTGCGAGCCGTCATATAGCTGGAATATTGCTGAGTGTGGTGTTAAACATACATACAAACAAACAAAATCTAATGGGTTGCACCAGGCTCAGCACTTACAACCTGTGTCACAGGAAAGTCGTCCCACATCAAGCCAATATGCAGTGTACAAGTGTGATACTTTTCAAAGTGGCATTAAACCCAACTCACTTACTCCCTTATCTGTAGATATCCCATACCGAGATCAGTTGATCTTTAGAACCACAGGCTAACAGATTGTCCTGGGAGAACGCCAGACATTGAGCACTGTCACGGTGATAGCACAGTACAGCCAGGGGCTTCATCTTCTTCAGGCCAAACAGTCGGATAGTATTGTCCCATCCAGCACAAGCAACTATCTTGTCATCACTTCGCACAACAATGTCATTGAGGCCTGGGTTGGTTATTTCCAGCTCACCAGTTTTCTGAAGACAGCTCTCCGTGTCAACTCTCCAGCATACCAGCTTGTTGTCCACAGATCCAGAAATACCTTTCCTGGAACTGGACGAAAAGCCCATGCACATGACAGAGTCCCCATGCAGTCTCTCTAAAGTGCCGACACATTTCTGTGTTCGTAAATCCCACAGGGTTACACTGCCATTTTCATATCCGATCAAAATTTGGTTGTTTTCTGACTGGCTGTTGGCAGTTTTGATTGACATACATATCCCAACCTTCTGGCTGCTGCAGTCAGGTTTGAGAGCCATCACACAATGTTTGCTTTGGATGTCGTAGATGTCAACATGCGATGTGACTGTGCTGGGTGTGGCGATGAGTTGGGAGTTGTTGTGGAGGACTGTACTACTGCCACAGAAGCCCATTGAAGCACAACGCATGTTGCCTGGAAAATAGCATATGCATTTATTTTTAGTTTTCCATAGAAGAAGCTTGTGGTAATTTGTTGCAAGAAATTGTGTAAATTATTGGCATATTTTTTCTATGATATAGTTTGTAATCATTCTATTTTACGTTTTTTAAAAGCGTCACTCAGCAAAATATTCCATATATATGACAGAAGCTTGTGAATAACTTGGTCTGGAACAGATAAACCAGTGATTAATATTATGAGCTACGTCCAACATGGTTGGGATAAGATGAAACAATTCACTGAGCCTGACCACCCGATGCATTTAGTTGCCTCATACGACAAGCATACATTGCTTGGGACCAATTCCAACCCAGAATCCCAATGGGGCTTGTACTTAAGTCCCAAAACAGACCATCATGTAATACTTGACTAAATCCTGAAGACACACACCAAATACACATATATCATTAGGATCTAAAGCACTAACCCTTTCCAGCTCTGTGAAACCCTAGTACATAGAAAAGACTAAATACTGTAAATCTTGTAACTAACATGAGCGTAAATTAAAAGTGGTCTTTGCTCGCATTAATTAACTTCGCATTTATATCTCCAAAATGACCCTCATTAATAAGACGGCCTCATTGCACACTTTGGATAGCGGAAATACCAACTTGAATATAAACACAAACATGGTTTATTGAGCAGCAGTTGTAACAAGTATATAACAATGGCATTCAAAGAATAGGACTTACACAATGGGCATCCTATGAGTTATCACTGCTGGGGTCAAAGAGTTCTGCCCACTCGTGTCAAGCTTGTTGACACCTTCTCTTTAAGGTAAGGAGATATGTCATTCCTCTGGGAAAGGGGTGGAGGGAGTCGCATTGATATTGAGTCGCATTTTTGGCTAGGGCCGGGTCAGCAGTCGTATTAATTGTCAGACACATTAATTTCCAGATTTACAGTACATCATTATATTTCTTCACATTATTTTGTCTGCCAAGTTTGGTTAAGAGAAAACATATTTGTTGACCTTGCCTTCAACTAAGGTCATGCTCCCTGCAGGAGCAAAAAAGACATAATTCGTAACTATGACAATAAAGCTTAAAACAAAACAGACCAAGCTCCAGATAACTTTTTGAGCAATTGAGTTTTAACTCTATGGTTTCGATTTAAATTAGGTTATTACATTTATCATTGGGTAACCAATATTTTTTCACTCATCTATTCATCACTCTATTGGGTTTTCCCAAAAATTAGTGAACAGGTTAAGATTATAAAAAATTGAAGTAATGTTTAGATGTATATAACTGTTCAAAATATATAAGCTTGACCCGGGAAGTAAATTAGCTCGTAATTGTGTTTTGGAAATTAGGTTCTTTGTAAGTATGCTGAATGAAAAAGATTTATTGGATATTTACGCGAGCTGTTTTTACACATTTGAGTTTTTCATTTAATGCATGCGTTTCTTGACGCAAGTTAATTGAAAGTAATTGGGCTTTCATTATTATTTTTTTTTTGGGGAGGGCGGTATTTTACGTAAATATGTCGCTTATCTGTAGCTCCGAACAGACCAGGGGCGGAAATCTGATAAATAACAATGTTTTCCCGTATGTCTTTGTGTTCACGGCACAACTCAGACAAAAGATACCTTTTATCCATATTTATGAAACAAACGATGACTGGGAGTTGTTTATCGTACAATAAAACAGGGAGAATAAACCCATGAGTCTTGTATTTCTAATACATGTATAAGATATCAACATTATGCACAGCCTCTTTAAGGATGATGATAAAATATACAAGCTTTAAAAATATTTACTCCTATTTAAATAATGATGACATCCCTGAATAGAATCCAACCTCGACAAAGTCAGACAAGTCCATTTTATGAACAAGTGGGTTTGGAATTGGTATTTCCTGCATATTCTCACAAATCCTCACGTTGATTATCTGTACCTTTTCTCCCAATAATTTCATATCTCTCCCACTTTTGGATGTGGCCGTTCGCCAACTGCGTTCCTGTGCGTTGCTCAGCTAAATCTATGGGGAACAACTCACAAGACACTTTCCTCTCAAAAATAATGTTGTCCAATATACAACGTCATGAATTTGCAAGCGCATGTTCGAATCTCCAGAAATGACACCATGATAGAACCATGTTTTATCGTGAAATACCCCACGCTTCGTTCTTCATTGTTCTTTGTGATTTATCGCATAGCTATCTTATATATGGTCATAAAATATTTCAAAAAGTTCAATTCGATCAATTGTATGCTAAACTTTTACCACTGTGGTTTGATTTCCGTAGTGTGAATTTGGTGCAGTAATTAGTTCTGTAGTGAACCTAATGCAATATAATGCACAACTGTTTCTTTGGAGCATTTAAATCCTTTACATTTGAAAGATCAGAATTATTTAAACACTCTTCATGCAGACCAGCAGACTTGCACAAGTCTCTAAGGCAATAATTATTAGCATAAATCATAGTTCCTAGATAATACATAATAAATACAAGTTGTCCCGATAGTTGTAGATGTATCGTCTGCTTATCTAGATTTGCCTATTAAAAGGATAGAATTACTATACACCTATAGATTTATCATTGAGTACAGCCTACCAGGCCAGCAAACATCCTTAATCTGTTCTGGAAGAGACCCGCGAAGACCCGGATAGAATAGGTCTTCAGCAACCCATGCTTGCCGTAAAAGGCGACTATGCTTGTCGTAAGAGGCGACTAACGGGATCGGGTGGTCAGGCTCGCTGACTTGATTGATGCATGTCATCGATCCCAATTGTGTGGATGGATGCTCGTGATATCAATCACTGGATTGTCTGGTCCAGACTCGATTATTTACAGACCGTCGTCATATAGCTGGAATATTGCAGAGTGCGGCGTTAAACAACAAAACAAACCAAACCAAACTGTTCTGGAAGAAACTCAAATCACCTGTGTTTGTGAAGGACCCTTCTTGATACTGCCAGGACTTGACAAAACCGTCTCTACCCTGACTCAGGACACAGTCCTCCGACAGAGGACACACCCACAGGACGGTGTGGCCCTCGTGACCATCAATCTTGGACTGAACACGCCGCGAAGCTAAACTCCACTGCAGCACTTTCCCATCCAGGGTGCCACTGTAGAGAGTGTGTGGAGAGGAGAAGGCCAAACTGGTTATTGGGCTGCTGGCTCCTCGCAAGATGAAGCTGGGATCTGGAGGGGGAGATGCCATGGTGCATGTCACCTAAAACAATTACAATTTTAACATAACATATTTCCTCTATTAAGTGTCCTGACGCTTCTTTCAACAAGTAACATATTTCCTCTATTAAGTGCCCTGCCGCTTCTTTCAACAAGTAACGTATTTCCTCTATTAAGTGCCCTGTTTCTTCTTTCAACAAGTAATGTATTTCCTCTATTAAGTGCCCTGTTTCTTCTTTCAACAAGTAATGTATTTCCTCTATTAAGTGCCCTGTTTCTTCTTTCAACAAGTAATGTATTTCCTCTATTAAGTGCCCTGTTTCTTCTTTCAACAAGTAACATATTTCCTCTATTAAGTGTCCTGGCGCTTCTTTCAACAAGTAACGTATTTCCTCTATTAAGCTCCCTGCCACTTCTTTCAACAAGTAACGTATTTCCTCTATTAAGCTCCCTGCCACTTCTTTTAACAAGTAACGTATTTCCTCTATTAAGCTCCCTGCCACTTCTTTCAACAAGTAACGTATTTCCTCTATTAAGCTCCCTGCCACTTCTTTCAACAAGTAACGTATTTCCTCTATTAAGCTCCCTGCCACTTCTTTCAACAAGCTTCCAAACCTGGGGGTGCTGGTAATAGAGAACCTGCATAATTAGAGACCCAGTGCTTAATATTTCAACTATGGTGTTTTTCATAAGCTACAGTCACTAATATATTTTGTTTCAAACATTCACCTGACACGAGACCCAATTGCGTGGATTGATGCTCATGATGTCAATCCCTGGATTGTCTGTTCCAGACCTGATTATTTACAGACCGCCATCATATAGCTTGAATATTGCTGAGTGCGGTGTTAAACAACAAACCAACCAACCAACCTGACACAATCCCCTACACGGCTATACACATGGAAGCCTTAGACAGACGGAAGAAAATCAGGCCACACTTAATTCCACTCTTGTTGAGTTGTTTGTGTTTGTTTGTTGTTTAACGCTGCACTCAGCAATATTCCAGCTATATGACGACAATCTGTAACTGATCGAGTCTTGACCAGACAATCCAGCAATTGAAATCATGAGCATCGGTCCATACAATTGGGATACGATGACATGCATCAACCAAGTTAGCCAGTCTGACCATCCGATCCCGTTAGTCACCTTTTATGGCAAGCATGGGATGCTGAAGACCTATTCTAACCCTGATCTTCATGTGTCTGCCATGTGGTGCGAAAGGGTGCAAGTACTGAAACGGGACTCTTTGTTTCTAAGCTTTTATTTATTCCAGGGAGAAGTAATTTTAATCTAATACACTGCTTATTGGAGACCAGGCTCTTATGCTTATTATGTTGTATGCTGCTTCGTACCGGTGCTAATTGAAGGATGGTGCCTAAGCGAGACCAAGCACTTTAATATTAGAGGAAATATGAAAATCACAGTATTACCCATTAGAGAATGGTTATCAGGAATAACATTTCATCAGGGCTTCCGAAAAATGTTTTTTGCATCATGATGATTGACTTATTAATGCTTTTTGTTGTGATTTGTTTGTTTGTTTTGTTGTTAAATGCTGAACTAGGCAATATTCCAGCTATATGACGGCGGTCTGTAAATAATCGAGCCTGGACCAGACTATAATCCTGTTGTTGTGAAGCAGCCTGGTGTCACATCAGTGCACCGATTCTGATAAATGAAGATAACGTCCAATGCTGATGACGCCAGACATTTTTATCAGGCAATGATATTGGTTCACATAGCTGATGTTTCTCTATGTGATTCTCAAACCAATTTTTCTTTGACTAAAATACCTTCTTTACTGAAAGCCTATGTTGTCAAATTGTCTATGCAAAGTGGCCCTGGGGTTTCCCAAAAATATAGTAATATGGAATCAATGATACTTAAAGGACTCGGCCAATGAAAGTATCAAGTTATCAACTTGTTACTAGTTATGGCGAGTCTAAGATGAAAACATGTATTTGAGTGCTTATTTTACAGGTGCTTCAAATACTAATTCCTCACAAAACTGAGTCTTTTGTCTGAAGAAGATTGTGTCTATAGCAGTATACAATGTAGATACAATTTGTTCCATTAATACTACAGTCAAACCTTGTTGTTTCGAACTCGAAGGGACCTTGAAATTTCTTTTGAGTTATCTGGGGTTTGATACAACCAACAAAATGAATTTCCGAAAACTAAACATCATGTTATAAGCGATCGCCATATGTAATCTAGTCATCATTGATTTCATACCATGTTTCAACATTGATAACCATATTGCAACAAATAACAAAATACATATACCATGTCATATTGCTTTAAATAATTTTTTAATCTATTTGTAACATTCAATATACATTTAATTTATTTTGTACTCTGAATCCATTTTACTCATTCTTCAATTGACACGATCAATGGCATTCAAGAGAGAACTTCAGCAACTTGCTGCTGATGAATATATACAGTTATCATCAGCTGGCATCCTTGACGTATGGTGCGCATGTTAATTAGGCTCCATTGGATAATATCATTTTGACAGAAAACATCACACCTTTTATGTTTTGTTGTTTGTTTGTTGTTTAACACCGCATTCAGCAATATTCCAGCTATATGACGGAGGTCTGTAAATAATCGAGTTCGTCACCTCGTACGACAAGCATAGTCGCCTTTTACGGCAAGCTTGGGTTGCTGAAGACCTATACAATGTACTACCCCAGATCCACCTTTTAGGTAATTGCCGCAATCCGAGAGGTTAGTCAATTTTGTATGAAGTGACTTTAAAGTTGAGTGTTTGGTAAACTTTGTATTGGTGTCTTGTCGTTATTTATATTTTGAACTGTTTGAGTCCGCAAAAGAATTTCATAATTTGGATACTTTGGGTTCCCAAAAGAGTTTCGACACATCAAGTTCGACAGATCTGAGTTTATATTACGATAAATTATAGGGAAGGAATTTGCAGTGACCAGGTCATGAGTTCAAGACAACAGGGAATTCTACGTGTCCAATTCCGCAACTTATTAAGTTTGACACACACAAATTGATATGTTCAGAGGTTCTGGTATATATGGTCTGTATGTTGGACTCCCCTCATGAAAATGTAAAGATCCGGGGTAGAACAAGTCTTCTGCAACCCATGCTTGCCATAAAAGGCGACTATGCCTTTCGTAAGTGGCAACTAATTGGATCGGCACCCGAGTCAGGCTTGCTGACTTGGTTGATGCATGTCATCGTATCCCAATTGCGTGGATCGATGCTCATGATGTCAATCACTGGATTGTGTGGTCCAAACTCGATTATTTACAAGAAAATAAGATTGCACTGATTCCTTTCGCCTGGACTCATAAATACTTCCTTCTGCTTAAATTGAACAGTTAATCATAACAAACACTACGTTTATTTGTTTTTAATGACCGTTTTAGTATTTTAGGTTATCGGGTACAATGTTTATCATAAGATGCAATGGAGTCCTTATAATAAATTATAAGCACGTAGTTGTGGCAAAGGGAAAATAAGTCTCGCAGGGGTGTTCTCAAAGGTAAATGAATATTAAAATTGAACAGGCTAATTTCGCGAGTCTATTTTTGTTCATTCCTGACACAATAAGCCATGAATAAAACTTGTTTCTGAACCAGTATCGTGTCACCATGTGCATAATACAATACTCACAATAATTTCGATGCAGATGCAGTCACCTGAAGCTCATGCAAGAGACTGCTTGACACACGTGTACGCAGTTCGTAAACATTGTAGGGGACGTAACTCTAATATGCTAAACGGAACCTTATGTGGCCTACTCTGGTGTCGCCGGCATGCAATGTGAGCGTTCGACCCTCACGACACACGTTGTGTTCAACTTAACCATTAAGTCCATTACAGATATAATACGTACGCTTTTCCCGCTTAAATAATCAGCGGAAGGTTTAAAAACCAACGGACTTTACACACATAAAGACAATACTCATACTCGTTGCAATTTTCTTTTATCATCTTTTTTTTTCTATTTCTCCATTTGCTTACAATGATTCTTTGGCAGAAGTGGGGCAGTAGCAATTCCGTATGCAGAGCTACGCCCCTTTGGCGTACCAGAAACCTATGCTAGTGGATTCGAGTCCCAGGTTCAACTGTATGATGTTTGTAGCTAGGTTGTTTGTATGTATGTAAGCCATCCTGACCATATTTCACAAACAATAATTTGATGAAAGGTGCGCCTATACATTCAATACATTACTATCAATATATATAATCAACAAATGGTATTAATTCATGTCATAGTGTTTTTCAAGCCATTGTCTTCTTACACTGAAACCATAAAAAATGCAAGCACCTAGTTTCCATGCATGTTGCTTGTCACAAATTTTCATTATATTTATAACGTAACGCAGTTCTTCACAATGCTAAAATACTGACTCCTCAAGGGACAGATCAACAGAAAATGTTCTTCATCTTCAATACCTTTTTTTAAACGAACATGTTTATGACATTAATCTTTCTTCGTACAAAACATTTTCCAATCGTCCAATCGTTTAAGATTTCTACAACGGAATATGCTTCAACATTTCTTAAACTACTTACTCTTAATATTTACTAGGTACTGTTCTGATTGTAGCACATATTTACACTGTTCACAAAATCTTATTTTTCTTTCTCATGTTGATTGCAAGACAAATTTTAACGTAATTCATCTTTTAATCGTTGAGAAAAAGAACTAACATATTTGCGGGTCTCCAACACCCTGGTTTAACCAAACGAATCCATACCCATGTTTAAACAAAATATTTCTAACAAATTCCGGCATTATCGAGTGAAGGCAACATATATAACAAATTGTGGGGTACCTATGACATGGTGTAGACAACAATTATATCCAGTAGGATATACATAACATATCAGTTTCGTTTCATGTTGGTTATTTGATGCTGTAATCTCGCGACCACTCGTGGCGAGTGACGATTCGAATTGAACCAGCTTATTGATTGATTAGTAAAATGTTTCACAGGTGTTCGGGCAACTGGGCCCATTTACACCTTGCCCATAATAAAGGTTTGCTAAGTACCTAGATATTTTATAAAATATCAAAACTGCCACACGCTTTAATATAAGCGAGAATGACATTCTGAACATCATGGTGAACAATATTCCTAGAACATAAAATGCCAGACAATGAGAAGTCAATATCAACTGTTAGTGACTCCACCATTGCCTTACGCTGATTAACATACTTTTGGCAATGCAATAAAAAATGAGCTACATTATCAAGCTGATTACACACTGTACAATGTGCAGAAATGTCTTTATCAATAACATTTAGAGAAGCACCAAGACCACAATGCCCAAGACGAAGTCTGGTTAAGAGAACCTCCTCTCTCCGAATATTTTTTATAGATATGTGAATTGAACCCACGCTGTACAAATGGAGTTGTGTCCCTTTCTTCGCGACAGACTCATTAGTCACAAATGGAGTTATGTCCCTTCCTCCGTGGCAGACTCATTAGTCATTGCATCTTTCGGTAACAACTACATGAATGACACCAGTTGGTCAAAACTGTACACTCAACGGCGTCGGTTGCAATTGCAACGATCGAAACTTGCAACTTGTTAAGAAGAAAGGAAATTATTTAAATAGTTTACTTAAATGTGTAACATAAGACACAGTTTGGGCGTGTTTCTTCACCAGATAACACCGATACTTAGACTCTCTAGTTCGTCTTCTGCCAGGACATCATGGTCTATACGTGAGATGCCCTTTTGGTGCGCCGGATGCCGAGGCCTGTTGAATGGTATAAGGATGACGCAGTGGACTACGCCGGATGCCGAGGCCTGTTGAATGGTATAAGGATGACGCAGTGGACTACGCCGGATGCCGAGGCCTGTTGAATGGTATAAAGATGACGCAGTGGACTACGCCGGATGCCGAGGCCTGATGAATGGTATAAGGATGACGCAGTGGACTACGCCGGATGCCGAGGCCTGTTGAATGGTATAAAGATGACGCAGTGGACTACGCCGGATGCCGAGGCCTGTTGAATGGTATAAGGATGACGCAGTGGACTACGCCGGATGCCGGGGCCTGTTGAATGGTATAAGGATGACGCAGTGGACTACGCCGGATGCCGAGGCCTGTTGAATGGTATAAGGATGACGCAGTGGACTACGCCGGATGCCGAGGCCTGTTGAATGGTATAAGGATGACGCAGTGGACTACGTTGGATGCCATGAAATGTTTCAATATTGAAATATATTTCTCGTCCTATTTTCTTGAAAGAGTGATAAATCAATAACATATTTAGCCCTCAGGTTATAAGCACGTATGTTCTACGTACGCATTCTCGTATGCATTCTATTGAAGTGCCCGTCAAATGTACTTTTGCCAGCTGTGTCCACTGATATGGCTCAATAGTTCTTAAACTGGATGCCAATAAAAATTAAGTGGCATGTCGGATGCCAAGAGTTGGAGGGTTGGCACCCTCATACTTCACGGGTTTTGGTGAACGCTGTCATTATACAACCCCGCGATGTTTGATCATGTTTCCAAGACATATTACACTTCATGTCTCAATTCGCACGAAAGTCAATCTGGGAAACAAGATTACCACCTAATTATCTCCCATTGGATTTCAACATGGCTTTATATTTCCGATATATCGAGAGCAATTTAATTACGCATAACATCGACATTACGAGACAGGCGTATAATTTCATGGCGACGGGGAACTATTTCCTAAGACCTAACACTAAGATGAGCTGTAAGTTTCGCGTACGCTAGTTAGATTATTACTTAATATCAAATTTCGGATTAATATCCAGATTGAACATTTTAAATATACATTGTTACGAAGGTAAATTAACCCCCTTTCTTGCGTCACATTCCTGCATGTTATATTTCTATTAAGACATGGGTTTTGTTTCAGTTATAACTATTAATCTACTATCGACACTGAATGAGCTTGGCTGACCTATCGCATTCAACCGAAGGACAGTGTATGTACGACCAGCTAAGGCGTCAGTTGTAAAATGATGGTGTTATATTATATGTACGTAGGTATTTCGAAACATGACAGTGTATACTTGGATAGTGACAGAGTTGTGTTTAATGATGCTTTGAAAAGTAAATATACTATTCAAACCAAGAAAAGGGCCACCCGATTCTTTCATATCAATATTTAATCTGTCATGCTGTATGCCAGATTCTACCATGAATCTGGAATTTACTCGATTCTGATTGGTCAATCAGAGGCTATTAAATCACAATAAACCCCCTCTGATTTAAACAGCTGGTTTGACGGCCGCTTCACCGCGGAAGCTAATATTCGTAGAATGGTACTATTTTCAGTCATTGTCGGTAGGCGTATTTAAATAATTATATCTGCAATTACAGGTTACAAAATGCACAGATGCGGTTAATACAATATACAAAGGATGTGTGGCAATACATTTTGTGCAGAAAAACACGACAGAAATCAACAAAGGGAATGTATTTACGTTTTGGAGACAACAGAGAGCTTGGAATTTTGGCGCTTTTCTATATATGACTGTGACGTCATATCTTTTGCGTCACAATGAGCGGCATTGAAATGGCGCTAAATTTAACATTTGAAACCTCACGCTGCGCGTTCGGTTCCAAATTCAATTTAGCGGGGTTAAATCTACAGGTAACCTAGCTCTACATTGAAAACACAGTATGTTTATCTCCTAATTGACTTCAGTACTATGAAAGAATCGAGTGCTCCTTAACTTCTTTTGAGTAGAATACCACGGCGTGTCAACATTATAGATTGTTGGGGGCTGGGTTGGGGTGTGTGGGAATATTGATTCAATATCAAGGCGTCTGTTATATTCGCGCTTCACATCGCCCAACCAATTGCATGTAGCAGTTTTACTGTCGAACAACAATATAACATGATATTTTTGTTTTGGAAGTCGGAGAAACGTTATGAAACAAACTCGCAAATGGGAAAACACTTTTTGTAGAAAACGACAAGGTTCAGGGTTATTTTCTATTTAAACATTCTACCTACCCCCAATCCTATTTTTTGAATACGAGTCTTACTTTGTTTTTCGTGTGAAGAGCAGGCATGGCATGAATCTCCCCTGCGGGACAACCATACTAATGGTTATACCATCAGCAACCAAGAAAACTGCGAATGAATTATGTAACTGTAGTGAGTGAGTGAGTGAGTTGGGTTTAACGCCGATTTAACAGTATTCCAGTTATAATACGGCGTGTCAGCTTAATGTGGGAGGAAAGCCCAAAGTGATGCAGGTCTCAGACGTTTACCACTTCGGTGAAACCCACGAGCACGGGTATGGTGCTGACAAACCTAGAAACATAATCGGGGCGAACCGGGATTCGAACCCTCAATCATAGGTTTCTGGCGTGCCCAAGGGACGCAACTCTGCACAGCGAATCGCGGCGCCTTAGACGACTGGGCCACCCGTGCCCCCTATGTAACTGTAACACTAGTGGAGATGAGTTTCCCTTTGTTATGATTTACGATGGTTATAATGCCATTAGGGCAAAATATATTTCTCCACATTTTTATGTCTACCCGACCCGTGAAGATCCGGGGTAGAATTGGTCTTCAGCAACCCAAGCTTCCCGTAAAAGACGACTATGCTTGTCGTAAGAGGCGACTAACGGGATCGGGTGGACAGGCTCGCTGACTTGGTTGATGCATGTTATCGTATCCCAATGGCGTGGATCGATGCTCATGATGTCAGTCACTGGATTGTCTGGTTCAAACTCGATTATTTAC